GCTGTCCTATTCCCGCTGTCCGCTGTCCGCTTCTCGCTGTCCGCTTCCCGCTGTCCGCTTCCCGCTGTCCGCTTCCCGCCGTCCGCTGTCCGCTTCCCGCTGTCCGCTTCTCGCTGTCCGCTTCCCGCTGTCCGCTTCCAGCTGTCCACTTCCCGCTGTCCGCTTCCCGCTTCCCGCTGTCCGCTGTCCGCTGTCCGCTTCCCGCTGTCCGCTTCCCGCTGTCCGCTTCCCGCTTTCCGGTTCCCGCTTCCCGCTTTCCGCTTCCCGCTGTACGCTGTCCGCTTCCCGCTGTCCGCTGTCCGCTTCCCGCTGTCCGCTTCCCGCCGTCCGCTGTCCGCTTCGCGCTGTCCGCTTCCCGCTGTCCGCTTCCCGCTGTCCGCTTCCCGCTGTCCGCTGTCCGCTTCCCGCTGTCCGCTGTCCGCTGTCCTATTCCCGCTGTCCGCTGTCCGCTTCTCGCTGTCCGCTTCCCGCTGTCCGCTTCCCGCTGTCCGCTTCCAGCTGTCCGCCCGCTGTCCGCTTCCCGCTGTCCGCTGTCCGCTGTCCTATTCCCGCTGTCCGCTGTCCGCTTCTCGCTGTCCGCTGTCCGCTTCTCGCTGTCCGCTGTCCGCTTCCCGCTGTCCGCTTGCCGCTGTCCGCTGTCCGCTGTCCGCTTCCCGCTTCCTGCTATCCGCTGTCCGCTTCTCGCTGTCCGCTTCCCGCTGTCCGCTGTCCGCTTCCCGCTGTCCGCTGCCCGCTTCCCGCTGTCCGCTTCCCGCTGTCCGCTGTCTTCTTCCCGCTGTCCGCTTCCCGCTGTCCGCTGTCCGCTTCCCGCTGTCCGCTGTCCGCTTCCAGCTGTCCGCTTCCCGCTGCCGCTGTCCGCTTCCCGCTGTCCGCTGTCCGCTTCCCGCTTTCCGCTTCCCGCTGCCGCTGTCCGCTGTCCGCTTCCCGCTGCCGCTGTCCGCTTCCCGCTGCCGCTGTCCGCTGTCCGCTGTCCGCTTCCCGTTGCTGCTGCCCGCTGCCCGCTGCTGCTGATGTCGGCTGACAGACCGAAATTCTGAAAAAGAAAAAAAAAATAAGAAAAAGAAGGGAACAAATTAGAATAAGAAGAGAAACAAATTAAAATAAAGAATAAAGTTTAAATAAAAGGATCCTTAAACATAAAAGTAGGGAAATAGGAAAATTAGAGACAAAAGACGGATATGAGCGAAAGCTCGAAACGTAAAAGAAAGCTCGTAAAAAGAAAGAGTATCAAATTAAAAAAAAAAAAAAAATGCCCGCTGCCGGCTGCTGCTGCTCGCTGCCCGCTGCCCGCTGCTGCTGCTGCTGGTGCTGCTTAATTTTGTCTTTACTTTTTCACTTCAATTTTTGCTCGAGTATTGTCCCGCCAACGGAGAGTTAGAAGCAATGGATTTCTTCATGCATTTATAAATTGATATACGAAATGCAATATTTCGCGCCTCGCGTTTCACACAATGCGGCCATCTTTTTTGCTGTTTAGTATCGCCATCTGCATTCGCGTTAAACGCCAGAATTACGTAGTCTAGTACCTTCGACTGCCTTACCGGCAATCATCATTTTGTGCATGTCGGTAAATTGTTAGAATCACATCGCGCAAGCATGACTTTTTTTATTTGTAGTATAATAAAATATGTAATTAAAAACGCAACTTCGCTCCATCTTCGCGATGACGCCATCACTGAATATCGTCAAAAATCGCTGTCGCGCGTTTCCATCGACACATTATGCTTACAAAACTTTAAGTATGTGAGTTTATCATTCGATTATTTTATCACGCGTTCTCAATTTGAATTGTATTTAGATTGTTAGAAAATTGAGTGACAGAGACAGAGAAAGACAGAGAGAAAGGATGACAGAGGGTGGGAGAGAGAGGGAGGGAGAGAGAGAGGGAGAGATAAAATATCGAATAAATACACTTAATTTTTTTAAGTATCGTTAAAGAAATAATTATTCTTATAAAGATTATAATAAAACGATAATTTATTTAGTTTATTTAGTTTTAATTCTTGTCACACACTTCTATTTTTAAAACAATACGTCAAAAATTAAATACAAGTATAATCAATTAATATTCTTTATAGATCTATTCTTTATAAAACTCAAGATATTTCATTTTGTAAAACTTTATAGACATTTTTTCGTCGAAAAGATAGCTTAAAAAAGACATCTTTTCGTTATCTTTTAGTATAATGTGCTGTGTAGGTGGCTTTGTAGTTCATGTTCACAGTTTTTAATGTCCACAGAGGGAGTATCGCTTCCAAGAATCACCTAAAAGCGGGCCATGACATCTCTCACTCTTCTCTCTGCATATGCAATCTAAAATTCAATAGTCAAATTATACTCGAAGTCCCGAGTTCTGCGATCAGCGATTGTGACAGTCGATTACAGTTAATCGAATCAATGAACAGTTGCATTCCGGCTCACTTTTTTGTTCGGTATATATAAATATTTAATCAATTAATCGATTTATTTAATTAACGATTGCATTTCGATTCGCATTTTCATTCGGTATATATAAATATTTAATCAATGAATCGAACGATTGCGTTCCGAATCGCTTTTTCATTCCGAGTCGCTTTTTCGTTCAGTATATATTAATATTTAATCAATTAATCGAATGATTGCATTCCGAATTGTTTTTTCGTTCGGTATATATATATATATATAAATATTTAATCAATTAATTGAACGATTGCATTTCGAGATGCTTTTTCGTTTGATATATACACCTATATAATTAATTCACTAATCGAACGATTGCATTTCGGGTTGGTTTTTTGTTCGGTATATATAAATATTTAATTCACTAATCGAACGATTGCATTTCGGTTCGCATTTTCATTCGCTATATATAAATATTTAATCAATGAATCGAACGATTGCATTCCGGCTTGTTTTTTCGTTCGGTATGTATAAATATTTAATTCATTAATCGAACGATTGCATTTCGGCTCACTGGTATATATAAATATTTAATTCATTAATTGAACGATTGCATTTCGGCTCACTTTTTCGTCTGATATATATCAATATTTAATCAATGAATCAAATGATTGCATTTTGGATCACTTTTTCATTCGGTATATATAAATATTTAATCAATTAATCAAACGATTGCATTTGGCTCGCTATTTTACTTATTGATTTGATGAACTGCAATCGACTGTCACAGACAATCGCTGATCGCAGGACTCGGGACTTCGAGTATAATTTGGCCGCTAGATTTTAGATTGCATATGGCGTCACTATATGTTTGATTTATAAAAGATTCGTAATTCCGAGATATATCTGATAGAATATGTTATTTTAAAATCTCCATTTAATAACATTTCAGTCCCTAGAAAAGAAATATTTTCATATTATAAATATAGCAAATTTTTAATAAAAATATTACAAATTTTTTTAAGAATTTAATACGTTTGTGAATTTATATTTTTGTAATCCAAAGCTTTAGACTTAAGATTTTAAAAATACTTACAATTCTTTGATTTTTAATTAGTGTCACCTCTTATCTAATTATATTCGGCGTATACTTTATTAATATTTCAGAATTTTAATATTTATAGTTCGGGGATTATTGCGATTACAACTCACTCGTCGATGATTTTCGAGTTGCAAGTATATTCTGAAATATTAGGAATATTAGGAAAATATTAGGCGAATATGATTAGATAGGAGGTGACCCTTACCAACATACCGACACAATTACCGATCATCGACAATGCAGCAAACTATTGCTAAAGATAATAATTAGTGCTACTTCTTTCCTTTATATATTCTCCTATTATTTTTCAACGGTCGATAATCTAGCTGCGTAATTTTGCTAGTTGTGCTACCTCAAATTTGTTTATATTCTCCTATTATTTTCCAACGGTCGATAATTTTCGAGTTGCAAGTATATTCTGAAATATTAGGAATATTAGGAAAGTATTAAGCGAATATGATCAGATAGGAAGTGACACTTACCAACATACCGACACAATTGCCGATCGTCGACAATGCAGCAAGCTACTGCTAAAGATAATAATTTGTGCTACTTCTTTCCTTTATATATTCTCCTATTATTTTTCAACGGTCGATAATCTAGCTGCGTAATTTTGCTAGTTGTGCTACCTCCAATTTGTTCATATTCGCCTAATAATTTCCTAATATTTCAAAATCCGTTTCTAGCCGAGAACTTGGAACATCAATCTCGACAATTAATAACAATAATAATTTAAATTTATTTAATTTGATTCATTTACATATAATTAATTAATATAATATAATGAATTAATATAATATAATAAATTATGGAATATGTATTAATTAATTCAATTTTGTTTTTTCACATGGAAAAAAATATATCTTATTCAGATTCTACTGATCGGATCTGATGAAGTAATGTTGATATATTTTAGATTAAATCTCTAAACAATGAGATTTGAATTTCTGTTGAATGGAATATGAGTTTTCTCCTCGAATAAAATGCAAAACGTTTCTTATAAAGAATTATTCTATATATTTAATTAAATCATTTATTACATCATTTTTTTCTTTACTTCTCTTTACTCGAGTAGTTTATTGTATGACAAATATAATAGTTTCCAGAATTAAAGAGGAATTTAATTAATGTCATAATATATGTATATTCTTCGTATTCTCAATATTATCTTCTCCTGATCTGTTGCATATATAATTATGCAAAATAAAACATTGAGGAATAAACAATAAGAATCTATTGATGTATATATTTAAAATTATTTATTGACAATGTATATAGTTTTTAATCAATTAGATGCAGATCGTATATAATCAAATACGAATTGACAATTTATCATTTTTTATTAATATTTATTTTATACAACGATTTGTATGCTTACAATTTTTATTTGTATAAAAAAATACTTTTATTATTTTAATATGTTAATTTATTATTTAATTTTAAATTTTACAAATATACACTTTTAATATTAATTTCATGTGATCTTAATTTCTTTAACTGAATGTAAAAATGATATATTTTCTTTTACAGTGGATAAGCTCTACAGATATTCCTTGACAAAAAAAAATAAATAAAATTTTTGGATTGTTTTTTTATACTATAGATCTTTTTAATATTATTAATCATATTTTTAATCTACAGAAATATAATTCGTTTTCGGTACGTTTAAACTTAACACGTTTTGTCTCATCAACGATGAGCAAATCATGCGGCAGTAAGTATAAGACGAGACTATTAAAGATATACTTATTTTTCCATTTTATTATAAATAAAATAGTTTTGGTTCTTGTCTGATTCGTTTGAGTCTTATTTTTGTGTCAACGACGACGAAAGCGTTGCTCCTATTACCGTCCAAATTGTCCAAACGAAAACTGGTTTTTGATTTTCGCAATATTAAAAGAATGTAATGGAAAATGGGAAGATAATCCAAATGTTCGAGAATTTAAATGTAGTATATGCAGAGCGACCTATCCAATAGCTGTAATAAAACAGCCATTGTTAATGTATAATTTATATTATATTGAATATTAATTATTTAATAAAATGAAATGAATATTAATGTAAAAAAATATATATGAATAAAGTAACCGTAAATCATAACAAAATTCTTTATCGATTTTGATAAGCAATTTTTTAATCGTGCTCTTGACACCACATATACGCATTGTCGAAAAGCCGCTGCCAGGGTGATGAGGTTTCCAAGTTCCACTCTACTGGTTTCCAAGGCCATTGCCACATTTGCGTACACCTCTCTGGATGCGGCATCATCGCCAAATGTCGGCCGTCTTTAGAGCAAACCGCAGCAATGCCATTTATACTGCCGTTTGGATTCATAGGATACCGTTCAGTCGGATTGCCATAATCGTCCGTATACCTACGTAATAAAATAAATATAAATAATAATATAATAACATAATAAAATATAAATAATACAAGCAGGCACATTGATAATGTCATTTAAAATTAAATTAATCAAATTAATCAAAAATTAAATAAAAAATTATTATGACAAGAAAATTAACATACAAATGTTTAAATTTGAAAATCAAGTAAAAATTCCAAACTAGGTAAATTCGAGGATCAATGTACTGGACCTTACGAGGTTTTAGAAATTTTAAACATAGAAACAATATTAAAATAAAAAAGAATAGCCGAGTTACATTTTAAACGTTTGATTTCATGTATTCATATTCCACATTTAATAATCATTTAATATCAAGTAATAATTGAATTACTCTTTATTAAAATATAAAAGCGTACCTGATTGGTAAGCAATTATCCCTTTCAAGAGATTTTAGAATTTCCTCGCGGAAAATAAACCTGCCCTCTCCATGAGCCACCCATATGCCAAGAACACTGCCCTCCATTCCTCTTAACATGATCGACGGCGAGCTCTCAATCTTAACAGTGCTCCACCTGCACTCGAATCTCTCCGACAGATTATGATCCAAATAAATTCCGTTTATATTTTTTTCAATATCTTCGTCACCCACCCATCCTAATAGACTCATCAATTGGCAGCCGTTACAAACTCCCAGGCTGAAAGTGTTTTCGCGAGCGACAAATCGCCGCAATTGCTCACGTAGAGATGGATGGAAGAGAAAACTGGCTGCCCATCCCTTGGCAGAGCCGCAGACATCAGCGTAACTGAAACCACCGGGAAAGATAATTCCTCTGAAAACCTCCAGGGTAGCATAGTTTTTCAGCAGATCTTGCATTGTAACGTCCCAAACCTCGAAGCCAGCTTGCAATAGAGAAGCGACCATTTCTCTGTCCCCATTAGTACCTTCTTCTCTTATCACAGCAACTTTAATATTCTTTAACGGATTCTTTGGTATCGAGTGAGGTCTAGTGGCATCAAAGCTTAATCGATAAGCGGGAGCGGTTCGCTCTCCTAGTTTAGAAAATTCTTCCAAGGCGCAGGTGACATTTGTCTGATGGCGTTCCAGCTGATAACTAGTCTCTTCCCAAATAGTCATCGAATCGATTACCGTAGTTCTTAGCGCAATATTACCACGCACCTTGATGATTACTTCCGAGTTCATTCCAAAGCCCGCGGATTTTCCAATCAAGTATGCGGGGGCTTTGTAACGTTGAAACATTTCCATCACTTCGTCGCGATATTTCTCGTCGACTTCCAATATCCAACCAACCTCTTCCGAAAACAAAATATTAATAGCAGGTGCAGACTTGTGAGTTATGTCGACATCTATCCCTGAGATTCCAGCAAAGCACATCTCTAGAAGACACGTGATCAGTCCACCGTCACTTACATCATGACCAGCGAGGACCTTCTTATCGGCGATTAATTGTTGCGTGGCATCGAAGGCGTTTTTGAAAGTCACCGCGTTTTGGACATCTGGTACGTCGTCACCCAATTGATTATAAACTTGAGACAGAGCCGTTCCACCGAGTCGGCTCTTCCCGTGAGACAAATCAACAAAAAGCAGATAACTCTGCCGTCCCGCAGCGGGAGCCTTGAGATCCGGGGTAATAACTCGACGAATATCGGGGCATGGCGCGTAGCAAGACACGACGAGAGTGCCAGGTGCCTTGACGACATCCTTGCCGACTCGTGTGGCCATGCTGAGCGAGTCCTTACCACCATCGATCGCGATTCCGAGTTCTTTCATCAATGAACACATCGCCACACAAGCTTCGTAGAGCGCCGCACCTTCGCCTGGAAGTTTCGCCGGCCACATCCAATTACCGCTGCACTTGACGTCTCGCAGATTCGTAATACGCGCAAATACTAGGTTGCTGAGAGCCTCGGCAACCGTCATTCGAGCACCAGCCACTTCATTCGCCAGTCCTTTAATTGGTTGTTCGCCGATGGACGTCGCGATGCCTTCCATAGAAAAGTATGAAATAGCTACCACTGCAACGTCTGCCAGAGGAGTGTGCAATGGACCGACACACTGCTGCTGGGCTACCAAGCCTGTTACACAACGGTCCACCTTATTCGTTAGATACCTGGACAGTGCGAAACAGATTAACTTTTTGAGTGTTGATTTTGTAAAAAAATATAAATATAATAAGAATTTTTTTCACGTGTTTTTTCCAAAAAAAAAAAAATCGTAAAAGATAGAAATGTACGTGACAAATGAAAGAAAAGAGGAAGGAGAAACAATGAGATTGTTATAGAATATAATAAAACATATACCGTTTGCTAGCTACCGAAGGTAATCGAAGAACTCTATCCAAAGCACTGAGAACTGTTAATTCATCGGGCAACTTCATAGAAAACTTTTGAGGCGATATCTTGTCCAAGTTGAAAGTTTTACGAGGCATTTTTCCAAGAATAACTTCTAGCTCCAGATTCACCGGATATTTATTGTCGTTCAGGTTCCCATCTTCATTATTTAAATATTTCGTGTGTTCGCAATTTTCCTCTTCAGAAACAATAATTTTTCCATTTCCAGTGACAGTGCCGACAAAATTGATGGGGCATTTTTCACGCGCTGCGATTCCTCTTAGTAAATCCTCGTCCTTCGATTTACATAGAATCGCGTTGCTCTCTTGATATTCTGCGCCCCAGAGCTCTAATGTACTAATACTAGGGTCGCCAAGATCGAAATTCTTAGTAAAAATAACGGCACCGGCAGGCTCCACTAGTTCTTTGAGGACGTTACCGTTACCACCGGCACCCTGATCGTGGATACTCAGGATCGGATTGCTGTCACCCATTTCCGTGCATGCACGAACCACGCGATTTAATTTTTGCTCCATCTCGGGATCGCCACGCTGGACTGCACCAAAGTCTAACTCTGTATTGTTGTCACCCTGTACCTCTACAGAACTCGCCGAACCCCCGCCTACACCGATCCGATACACAGGTCCACCGATCTTGACCACTTCCATTCCTCGTTCTGCTGACACCTGACAAAGGACAACCAATAAATGATATAATAATTATATACTTTTTTCAGTGAAAAGAAAAGTTTCCTTCTTTTAGGAAACGATAAGAAGTTTCAAATAATTTTTTTGAAATTTGGAATAATTTTTTTTTACATATATAGATTTTAAATTAAATACGTATACATATATATATATATATATATATATATATATATATATATATATATATATATATGAGGCAAGAAATGTTGTGTTAATATAATTTATAAAAATTAATAATATCAAGAGATAGTGTTTTAAAAGAAATAATGGTGAATTAAAAAGAGTGATTTAAACAAATTAATTGTTGTATAAAATAAGCTATCTACAATATTTAAATAAACCTTAGAAGCTTGCCTTATTAGTCAAATTTGCATCCATGGTTCCTAATCCTCCACTGAACATTATAGGCTTGATCCATTCTCGTCTAATTCCCGCGTGATTAGTCGCCCCATAAGAACGCGCGAATCCACACACGACGGGTTCTCCAAATTTGTTTCCATAATCAGAAGCGCCGTTACTCGCTTCGATTATTATTTCTAACGGCGATGCCATATTACTAGGGTAAACTGCATCCTTTTCCTCCCATGGCAAATCATAGCCTGCCAAAAGATAAATTGAGATGTATCAAAAAAATAATTCAGTGTTGAATATTTAAAAATAGTCTTTTTAATAAATAGGTATATGATTACCAATAGCTCTATAGAATCGCTTATTAATAAATATAAATGAATAATCTTTAATCCAAGGCTAGACATGTGCAAAAACCAGCATTATATACAAGAATTAGTTCAATTTGGTTCATTGAATTTAATTATAAAAATATATATACCTGAAATATGAAGATTGCCAACACTGTAACCTGCAGTGCCTGCTATGTAATTTCCTCCTCTACCGATTGCTTGAATGTCTCTCAGTCGGCCACCAGTACCCGTAGTGGCACCGCTATTACAATATTATTTCATATTTCATATGTATATATTCAAATAAATTAAAAAATTAATCACTCATACATATTAAATGACCAATATATAATAAGGAAATAGAAAAAAGAAAGAAATTCTCAGACTAAAAATTACAAATTAGAATAAGTCATATTATATCTCAGATTTGGACTATTATTATGTTTCAAATTTTTTTATTATCAATATTCTATATCAGTACTTGAAAATTTTAAAACTCATATATAATTTTTAAAAAAGATGTAAAAACAAAGTGCATACATACATTATAAACCATCTTTGAGTTTAACTTGAAATTTTATTTATTCATTATTTATTTATTAATTTACCTAAAAGGTGCTACGCCAGTTGGAAAGTTGTGTGTCTCAGCTGTAAAAATGAGATGTTGCTTGATGTCTTTCAGATCAAAATGACTACTTTTGTGAGTTTCTACAGGACACAAGACAGGAACTTGAAATCCTTCTATAGCACTACTGTTATCACTAAATTTAATCACATTGTTTGGATTTGAGTAATTTTGAGTATCTATAATCATGTCGATCAAAGATTTTTCTTCTTCTTTGCCATCCAAAATAACGCGTCCCTTAAAAAACCAGTGGCGACTATGTTCACTATTAGATTGGGCAAGGTCAAAACATTCCACGCTTGTTGGATTACGTTTTAGTTTGTCAAGAAATAATTTTGTATAATAGTCTAAATCCCAATCGTCAAATGCCAAGCCTGCAAAATAATTTAGAATAAAATAAATAATTATAGAATAAAAGAATTGTATAGTTTGAAAACATAAAGAAAGATTAGAATAAATAATTCAATAACTGGGAAATGAAAATCATTGATCCATTAATATGATAAAAATATAATTTATATAATTCTCATCACTTTTTCAAAAATTAGATTTGAATTCTGGCTAAATTTTGTTCTGCTGACTCTTGAGCCTTTTTATTTTCATAATAACAACAAACTTGTTAAACTTTAAAAGATCATTTCAAGTACTTATGTTTTTGATTTTAATAAAAAAAACTTCAAAAAAAAATCTAAATTAAATCTTTAATTACACTTTACTCACCCAATTTTAAATTAACTTTTTCCAAAGCCTTTCTGCCTTCTTTGATTAAGTCAACATCAAACCATTTCTCCGGCCTAAAGCCATGATCAAATGTTTCAATAGGTTTTACGTATCTACATTCTGTCATTTTATCTCCCAATACATTTACAATCTATAATATAATATATATAATGTTATTTTAAGCAAAGTAGACTATATGTATTATGTATTAAGTAAATTTAATAGTTTCAATCATATCACTGAAAATCACTGATTCTTGAGAGAATATACAGAATATACACATACGTCATTTTCTATTTTCTTGTCAATTGTCCCTTTAAGTTTTATGCAATATCTAATTGCTGCTTCAATTCTTGTGACTTTATTCAATTTCACAGACTTACAAATGGAAACTACATTAGTAGAAAATGCTGTTGAAAAGTTCAACCTACAATGACAGAGAATTATTTTATTATAAATTATGAAGAGTTAACTTTTATGGTGCAGAAATAAAAGTAAATTAGATGTTACGTATGAATTTTTACCTGGGTCCAATTTCAATGACAATAGCATGATCCTGAATATTACTAAATACACTGTCACATCGTAAACATTCTCGTTCGAAAGGAGATGATAGGATCCATTTTAATACTCTAATTTCCTCCTCTTCGAGCGGTTCGGCGATCTCCACATAATAACACAATTCTGTCTCAAGATCGGTCACCGAGGTCTCGATTTCCAACACCTTTTGTAGCTTGCTCTTCAGCTGGCCCGCCCTCAATCCAGGTGTCTTGTAAAACTTCAAGATGCGCATCTTGAACGTAAGGAAGGTATAACGAAAGAGAGAGAGAAAGAGAGAAAGAGAGATGCTGATAATATTGACGACACGCAGGAACTATTCAAAATGAGATATCGAGCTGTAGTAGCTTTAGCTATCTATCTTATTATTCGATGACAAGTGGAAGTGATAACGTAACTACTTTGCGAAAGAAGCAATAGAAGTTTATCATTAATTATGATTTTCGAAATGTTATGTTCATTCTCGATATTTTTCAAGTAAATAATCCGCAATATTAACATACATAACATTTTTTAAATATATATATATATATATATATATATATACACATATATTTTGCAATTTTTTAATTTTCTATATAACTTTTTATATTAACTTTATATCGCAATAATTATAAATAGTTGAATAAAGAATTTTTTTATGAAAGATTAAATATTAATATAAAAAATAAAATTTAAAAATTTTTCTATTCATATTTTACAAGTTTTATTTGAGCCAGAAATTTTTAATTTTTAATGTAAATTAAAAGAACCGAATTATAATATATATATATATATATATATATATATATATATATTTGAGTAAAAGAATAATAAACGTATTTTTATCACATTCTATAAAATTCTGGCAAATTTTAAATTAATATTTACATGGAAAATTAGTGATAAAAAATATGATACCTTCCATATAATTTACAAAAATCTTATGAACGAAAAGTTCAAGAATCAAAGGATTTAATATTCTAATTATTTCAGTCTCTCAAGAAAAATACATACGGACGTATATATATACTATAATGACGAAAGGGTCATCGATTGATATCGTTTGTTTGTCGCTTGTGACGCTAAGGCAAACTGCTTGCATGATATATATCAATAATTGCTTAATCGATGTTGAAAGTATAATATAAGGTTATCGTGAATCGAAGAAGGTAGCATCTTTAAATATCTAAAACTTATAAATTAATATATCAATAAATTTAATTTATATATCTATATAAAATTAAAGAGCCGTATGTATCATTGAGCTGTAGAAAACTAACATAATTTTTATAATTACTATATATATATATATATATATATATATATATATATATATATATATATACACATACACATATATATATAAAATTGTTATATAATATATAAAGTTATATTGACAAGAAAAAAGTTCTTTCACTTTATGTATTCTTTTTTCTTTCTTTTTAATATGTTGATAATCTTTCAAGATAGGTTTTGTATTAAACAAAAATAATTACACAATTCAATAATTGTTTTAATACAATAATAATAATAATAATAATAAAATATTATCGAATAATGTTATTAAATATTTTATACATATACAATAGTATCGTATTTGTAATAGTTTTTGTCTTATCATTAAAAATTATTAGTGTTCCACAGTAGCAAAGATTTTATGTAAGTAGACGAGTCCTTTATATACGCAATTTGCATAACAAGAAAAAGAAAGAAAAATAATAATATACAGAAGTCTTTCATATTTAATCTTGTCATGCTAATAAATTTGTATTTTATTTGCAGAAAGAGATTCATGGAGTTTACTCGCTCCGTTTAATAATCTTTTTAAAAATCCAGCATGTTTGTAAGTATTCCAAGATTTTCAGCTGTATTTATCATTCTCGAATTATAATATGAAAAACGAAGAAATTGCGAGCAAAGGCGCAAATAAGTAATTAAATTCATATAAATGATGATTATTAATTGTTTGCTGATAAAATTAATTTATGAAACAAATTTAAAAAGTAAATATGTCTGTCCAAAAATTACTTAAATGTAACGTAAAATAAATACATGCCATAATAGCTGTTAATATTACAATCTATTAAATCGGCGCAAAAAAGATTTAATATATCTTTTAAATAAAACTAAAAATGGAATTTTTGAATAATCAGTTATCAATATATCTTTCGCACAAAAATTTTTTGCATCACAATTTTTTTCTTAAAAATTCCATGGACATTAATGAAAATTACATTATTGACATTATTGAAAATATACATTTTAATAAAATAAAAAAAATCTTTATATTAATATTCGACAATATCCTGAATGCAGGACATGTTTTGTGTCTTTCTTTAAAGAGTATATCAAAAATTGTCACAATCCAAAAATTTATAGTATACGTTATAAATATGCTTTATTAAATTAAAATAATTTCTTGGATAGAAAGTCACTTACACAGATACTAGATGCGAAGAATCTTTCATGCATTTTTTTCTTAACATATATCGCTAATTCTTCGAGTTCATACATTTAAAATAATCTGTTTCATAAAGTTTTTCACACAAAGGACAATAGAGATCAATGTGCAAAAAGATAACTTTATATATTATATTTTAACATTAAATTTAATCACATAGAAAGAATATCTAAAAAAATATGTATATGTAAATAGTTCATAATCAAATCATTGAAAAAATTGGAATGGTTCTTTATATTCAAAAATTTTTTTCCAATTATAGATATTTAAATCTTTAGATTTTCAGATTTTTAATTTAAAAGTTCCCTTGTGGATTTGTACATTTTTAAATTTCAAAATAAATTTTATAATCTTTATATTCTAGGATTTGCAGGTATTTTTAAATCGTAAAACTTTGTTCTTTAATTATTTTACAAAATCATTTATTTAACAAATGGTAAAAGAGGGGAGAAGTATTTAACTATCTTAAAAAATTTTAATCTTCATTAAAAAGAATAATTTCTAAAATTGTAAAATGAATAAAAAACAAGAAAAGATTATACTAGTAATACATATCTGAGACACATGCTAAGATATCCTGCATGAATTCGCACGAGCGTCGTGTGTGTGTGTGTGTGTGTGTGTCTATATATATATATATATATATATATATATATATATATATATATATATACGAAATTTAAGTACGTAAACTACTGTCTACTTTATAAAAAATTGTGTGTTTATATTTGTAGATTCTTGGATTCTTATATTCTAAGATTTTCGTATTTTTGAATTGTTTAATTCCTAGATCTTTAGAGAAGGTAGATTTAAAAATCCACAAAATCTTAGATACTAAAACAATTTCGGTATTACTCAGATATTTAACAAATTATGGAAGCCATAAATTGCGCAAAACTTTGACCCACAAATTTTCCTCATTATGTAACAAGTTAATTGTTCCAAGATTTTTCTTATCTGATTCACAAAATTCTTTTATAAATATTCTATATGAATATCAAATTATTAAAATACATCTTATGATTGCTACTTGTAAACAGCAGCTTTTTAATGCACAACTTTGTAATGTGAAAAAATCGCATTTTTTATGATTTCTCTTAATATCTCGCAAAAGGATTTTTCTGTATTTCTAGTATGAAAAATCGAATATTCACAAACTATTATAATTTTCATTTTACTATTTTTGAAATAATGAGTGAAATCCAGATTTATATGTTGCAACATTGATACATGCACGAAAAATTCGAAGAAATTAACAATAATTAACAAAAGTTAATTAATAATAATTATAGTGTACATAATAATTAAAGTGTACAGATTTTTTCGCGCATAACTTCGTTATCCATTTTTGCATATACATATAAACCGGGCTTCTTAAATAATAATAATATTAATAATAATAATTAATAATAATATATAATAATAATAATAATATACAGGACTCGCAGTTCGCAAAATAACAACGATGTAAAAAAAATTGTATCTGATAGATTAGTGCAGATTATGTAAATCTATTTACATAAAATCTTTGGCAAAATCATCGATTCATATTTTGGTGAATACAGGAATGAAACAAAAGTTTATCAGCTGTTTTATTTTGATAAAAACTTTTGAAAAATTTAACGAAAGAAAGCATGAGTGATATATAACATCTTATTAATCGATATTTATTGTTAAAAAGACGTACGATTTATGAAACATGATATTTAATATATTTAATATAATTATTATATTATATTATTAATAATAATTACCCACATATATACTAATCATGTTTAAGAATCTGATTTAAGCCGATATATTGTTTAGTACATCAGCGAACGATTTTCTTTCATGGGATTATCTTGAAGGAACTTTATATGTAAATAATCTATATAAATTTGGCAGGACATGAAAAATCACATTGCATAAAAAATATGCGACGTATGTTTCCAGTGTTTACAAAGTAATAAAAAAAGGTCATTTAGAAAAAGAGACAATTTGTGAACACAGATTTTTAATATATATCGTATTCTATAACATTACGCATTGAATTTCTATCAATTAAAAGAGAGCTAACAGTATATAAATATATATTATCATCGAAATATTTTTCCCAAAAATTTTATCAGACAAATAAAACAGCTTGAAAATGACTTGTTTCTCTCTTCTGTATATATGTAGCATTATTATCCGCAGTAAAGAATTATATGTCTCACACACGTATATATGTATCGTCCGCGTTTTTCAGTTTTTTTTTTTTCTACAAATAATTCTGATCTCTTTCGGTATATGAGAACGTTCCAGCACCGCTCATGAAATGCACCAAGATCAAGAAGGATATGATCGACGGAACGTTTCCTCCGTTGCGCTTCAACCGACGCTGTCACCCATCATTTCGGTTTCCACTTGAAGATTAAGATTTTCTGGATTCGAATCCCCAGTTATTTCTGCGCGTGCGTCGATGAGCTCCTATTGATATGTACAAAGTATGTTACAAAATGTAATATGAAAAAATTGTACAAAGATATACATATATATGTACATAAAAAATTAAGAATCTTATATTAATCATTCATTTTAAACTAATCTACCTTTTCGAAATTACTCGAGTGCGATCAATCGATTCTATTGTTTACTGCGTAAAAAATCCTTGTATATATATCTCTGATGTCTAAAATCTTCGGGCCTTCACTGCAGCCGCATTGGATTTATACGCGTATATCGTGATGGTAGAAATAAATTATTTTTTTTGTCATAATTTTTTTCATATCAGATAGAATAAATTCTCATAAAATCTATCTCTCTTCATGAAAGCGAATAGTTTATGAATTAATGGCTGTTTAAATAGATTCGATTGAATTACCATCAATTTTCTCTGGAAATCTAAGACACATATAGATTGAATTATATATATTTTACTAATAAAGAACAATTAAAATGAGAATTTTCGATATATTTTATTTATTTATACCATCAAATGTGAGTGATAAAAAAAAATTTGATTTTGTATAATTTATAGATTACAATACGAAAAAGCAGGAAACTTAAATCATTATGTAATTTCATGGCAAATTCCAATAATGAATTAATGAAAATATTATTGCGAAATTGTTTGAAAACGTCATATAAAACTTTCTAAAAGTCATGAAATAACAAAATAATGAAAAATATTTTATAATTCATAAGTTAAGTAATTCATAAAATAGATGATACAGTTTACTGATAATTAAAAAATATCTCAGAAAAGGATCTGTAACAATCATTTCCATTAATTTTGAAGATAATAACTTTGATGAAACAGAATAATATTTTATATTCTATCTAATAAACAAGAAAAAATATTTTTGACTAATTCCAAAAAAGCAATTTCTATATCTTTTATATATAATAAATAAATAATGTTAATTTAAAATATACATTGTAACGTCTGTTAATTTATTGAGAATAATAAATATAAAAATGCTGTAATTTAATGCAGTACATATATTTAATGTACAATAAAATTAGAAAATCTTTCTTACATTACGAGTGATGTCATTGGTGCAACTGTCTTGATGCACGACGTCATCTGTAAAGATATATTATATATTATTGGACTACTTATAATAATTTATGATGACTTAAATACATCTTTTTTAAATATATTGTAAGTATTTCATATTCGTTATATTAATGAATATAACAGGAAAAATAGACTGTGTTTGAGATATCTGTCATATTTTTGAAATTATTATGTAGATGTATTGCAACAATTTTAGGAGTAAAATTAAAGTAAGTAGAATACTAACCAGTGGCCGTTTGCGTGTGAGTCGTCGTGGTTACTACTTCCGAAAATTCACGGCGCTGTACGTCAGTATCAAGTGCATGTATACGTTCTCTACTTCTACGCAATTCTTTTCGTAATTTTTCTCGCTCTTCTTCTCGCTCCTTTATAATTTCCTGTAATTTATTCAAATTTAAAATGAATTGAAAAGCATACAAATTTTAAACTGGAGGTAAACTCTGCTTATTTTAGTTGTATTTTCTTTTTCACAATTAAATGTATATTCAAGAAAGAGAAAAAAGAAGATGTAAATATCAAAAAGCTTTATAAAAAGCGATAGAATCACGAGTATATGAACACGAGTATATCACGAGTGTAGATTATCTTTTTACATAAAAGTTGGTTTAAATGTTTACAATGTAGCTTCTCTTCTTTCTCTCTTGCAAGATAAAATGTTTGAACGAGAGAAAGTAAATTTGCTTTATAATTATTTTATTAGCGTCTTTTTAAAGGTATTCTGATATAAATTTACTATATAGATAACAGAACACAGAAAAAAACATTTATAGTTTATTCTTAGTTTATATATATATATATATATATATATATATATATATATATATAATTAGTTTATATGTATAATTTTTAATTTTGTGAGAAAATTATATATAAACAAAATGATAAAGCATGTATAAATGATAATTTAATATTATACGTAACTCTTTTTAATAGAGTATAATATATCATTTTGTTTTAGCTTCATTTATCTAAAAGAGTGATAGAATTCCAATTACAATCGTAAAGCCTATCGTTTCTTGTCTGAGGTAAATGTAATATTCTGAAGACGTTAGATAAGTGAAGATAACGAGAATGAAGAAAATAGAGTATTTTTACGACATATTTACCAGCAGTTGCGACAGCTGGGAAAGCTGGGATGTCAGATAATGACAAATCGGTTGCATCATCCCCATAATCGATTGCTGAGGATGCGAATGATTTCGTAGTGTGGGACAACCGGTAGCTTCGCATGCAGCAGGAGACGATAACGTTGATGCTCCGCACGATGCAAATATCGTTTCCGTTTCGCTTACATTTAATGCAGAGTTCAACATTCCCACTAGATGATCCGCTATATACAAAAGAAAAATATATGTAGTGCATATAAATTTTATTTTATTCTTTCTCTTCCTATATCAATTATTGAGAAATAAATATCTAATTGAATTAGTAATACTACTAGTATAAGCTATCAATTTACTGTAGTATAAGAGCATATACATTTTTTACATTTTAAATTAAACAAATAAAAATATATCAAGTCTTCTTCAAATTTTTTATATTTTTGCTTTCGATAATATATTAACTCAAACTTGAATATCATGTTTAATGAAATATATATTTCTCTTTAAACTATTTATTTTTTAATGTATTAAGACTTTAAAAAAATTTATTGATAATACTTTGACTAATGGCTGCAAGTATAAGTTCAGCAGGTTCCTTTTCCACAGAAGATGGTTCAGATGCTATGTCTGCCACATGCTCGAAGTCTTCTTTAGGAATATTTAATATATCCGCCATTAATATGTGTTTCTCAAGCAGAGCCTGTTTGATTATTTCGTCCTTACGCCTCAGACATTCTGGAAAATATTAAATATCCACAAATTTTTTTGTTATTGAATTGTGTCTTGTTTCAGTAAGATGACAGGATTCATTAAATTCTCTAGGAAATTTTTATTGAAAATTATATGTATATATTTATCTATACACTATACTTCACGTCACAATTATATCAAAGTATATATAACTTCAATAAACTTTTGCAATAAATGTAATATAAATATCACGTAAAATGTCAGCAATACTTAATAATTTGCGTTTTAAAAGAGGATAAAATAATTTAAAATTATATTAAAAAAAGAAACATATATACCTATTGGTGTAAGAACCGGCTCTGCAATATGCACTGGTGGTACTTCTACATGAACTTCCAATGGATCTATCAATGAGAGCTGAGTACATGTGACCATTCGTAGTGGCTCCGCTATACCTATATGTAGAAAAAAAGTATGAATCTCTCATCTTAAAAATAAATTTATTTTATTATTATTATAAATTACTAGAAAATGTTTTATTAGACGCGTATTATACACATAGACATTAACTATAATTCATGTTTAAAAGCTCTCAATTCCATATTGCAAATATATTTGATTCAGCATATTTTATACATCTCGAAAGAAATTAACAATGTAATATGCAGAAAGATATGATTCACAATTCGCATTAGATTGATATAAATGTATAAAATGTGTCAAAGATTGTTCCTTTAGCTCATGAATTAAAATCTGCGGTTATAACTTTCGACAATCAGCATTTTTGTAATAATTATCGTAATGTTTACTCGAAATACAACCTGTCATTGGCGACTCAACAGTCGATTGCTGTTGCATCCGTTGTTGCGTTTGTTCGGCAGTCGTCGGAGTTTCCGTAGTCGTGGTGGTTTCCGGTGTTTCCTCATCATGTTCCTGCATGCCGGCAGGAGCACTTTGTTCAAGCTCCCTCGATTCTCTATTCTGTGATTGAGTCTTCTCAACGATTATGCTATCTGCTTCTGAAGGCGATCCGTCTTCCATCGCGTTTGTCGGTTCCTCTGAGAGCATAGTAGGCGGTGTTGGTCTTCTGCCCTGGCGATCGCGCGCCTTGTAAGCTTCCACTGCCTCGGATATGTGCTTACACCAGAGCTTGCGTTCTGCGGAAGTCGGCGCCACCAGATTATACATTTGCGCACCATTCTGCGAAGTATTGACCAGATAGAGAGAGTCCTTTTCGGCGGCATTGTGACGTACGAGCACAGTGGATAGCTTGACGATTGGACTGAGCACGGAATTGCCTGCCTGATTAGTCGTGTTAATAAACTTAAGCAGATACTTGTCATCTTGTCGATGTAAGAAGAAGATTGTGTCATCGAGCAACACTACATGCAGATCTACCGGCTTTGGTACCGAGCGATTCGGCATCGATCGATTCGGTTCAGTGCGCCGCCACTGTAACGGTCCCTCGTAAATCAGTTTACGTTTCGTGATGTCAAGATTTTTGAATTCCTGCACAGTCGGATGATCGAACTTGTCAAAGGCCGATCGATCGATCGCTCGTTGGATGTCCGTGAGTCGCTGATGATCATCAGCCTCCTTCACCGCCTGGTTAACACGACTCAGGATCTCCTTACTACGTTCGAGACTGCGTAACATGGCCGCCTTTTCTTTCTCGTTACTGTCCGGCGTGTACTTGACGAGATTCTCAAATAACAATGGGTACTTGGTGAGTCGTAACATGCCGGTGAGTATGTGATCTTTCAACTGAAGCCGACGGCACAGCGGATTCGCTTCCACCTCATTTAGGAAGGCGTTCAACTTGGAATCCTTGCGTCGACGATCCCGTAAAGCATCCAGAGCAACTTGCTGCTTAGCGCAGTAAGTTGACGCGGCCCTCTCGAACGCCTCGCCAGCTTCGCCGTCGAACATCTCCAGCAGAAGTTCACCCACGTCGCCTACACACGGGTTCTCCTTCTTCTTTCGCTTCATCGACTGATTGAAGCGCGAATGGATCATCAACATTTCGTCCAAGTTGGAGAAGAGCAGTTGAATCTGATCTAACGGCAGCACTTGAGACTCTAACAGAGGCTTGTGGAAGACGTGCGAGAGCACTTTTAACGCGCGAACGTGGGAGCGTTCGGTGTGAAATAATTCTGAAAGAAGAAAAAAAGATTTGTAAACATTTTATTAATGCAGCAGCCTCTTATCGAGGCAGTTTCAAAACAAGATAATTACTTACCGTTAATAACATCCTGTCTCTTTTTTTCAGAATTGCTAAGCTGTGCGAGAACATCCTCGGCAACTGCCTGGCTCCAATCCGGTGGATCAGCCTCGACGTCGACATCACTGTCCCACGAAGTTGAAGCACTTGCCGCTGATGTGGTGGGATGTACCTGCTCCAGGCTAGTACTGGGACTATCCAGACTCCTAGTTGATAAGCTGCTGTTTGACGAACTACCAGCCGAATTCCCGGGGAAGGTTCCAGAAGGCTCGCAATCGCTGGAACCGACTCTATAGTCAATCGTTAGCAATTTATGCATTTATGCTATTAACTAATTATATAATCTAGTATTTTTCAACGTAGTTCGGACTATCATATCGATTTTATAAGTAACATACATTTGACTTTCTCTTAAAAGAAGCCGTAAGAACTCGCTGTCAACAGATCTTGACAATTAAATTCTCTATTTTTTTCCTTTGTTTTTTCAAGAAACTTATTTTAAAACTTTCATATATACGTATATGTTTAATGCAATCAAGAAATTTTTTCTGTCATAATAAATTTAAAATATTAAAAATTTCATTTGTTTATTTCATATAGAAAATATTATAAATGCATGCAGTTTTTTTATTAATTTATAATCTTGTTTTCAATCTTTGATACATACATACATACATATTTAGATTTGTTTATTTATTTATTCGTTTAATCTGGGTATTTTCAATTGATGGAAAAATTGATAAATTGATTTTTGATAGTGAGACTAGAGAAAGTGAGAAAATTTTAATATTCTTTTCTCAACAAAAATAAGCTTTATTTTATTTTTATTAATTTCTGTTTCTTTTTACGAGATTATATATTTCATTATAAACAATTACTGTACTTCTTATAAACAAGATTTTATTTCAAATTTTCTATTCAGGAGATTGCATTAAATATAAAATATTACATAAGTAATCGATTACATTGATATACAAAAAAATAAAAAAATGTCTTTCCTTGATAACATTAATTTTCATTAAAAATAAGTCGAGTTAAAAATAAGATTATATCAATTTATAATCTTTTTATTAGCTCTAGGTTTTGAAAAATATTTCAGCTATTTTAAGAAAACAAAATGCAATCTGAATTTAACAAATTTTGCAGGAGAATTTAATATAATACAAAATTCTTGTTTAAACAATTAATATATTGAAAAAAATACAAATAAATTATTATAAGCAAAGTTATAAACTTGTTTTCTGCTAAGAGACCAGTATAAATGTTTGGACTTTACTTGAAAATTTCTGTTTGTATTCTACTTTTGGAATATTCTTTGTACATTCCAATAGCAAGCATAGATATACGGAAATGAATATTTATTAAAAAAATGAATATTTATTTAAAAAAAGTTATATATATAATATGAATATTTATTAAAAGAAGTTATATATCATGAAAATGAAAGCTAAAACTTAGAGTGTCTTAACTGTCATATTCTTTTCTTTGTACATCAAAAGGCTAATAAAAATCGACTATTTTATGGCAGACTATATTATGAGGCAGAAATATGTTTAGTGGATTGAAAAAAGAACATTTAATGAATATTCCATCGAACAGCACCAGTCGCAAAAACAATAGAATCTTTTTCGCGCGATGAAGTATCATAAAAAATACCTTTCGGACCTCGTACGTCGCTCATTAAGACAGCGCAGATGATCGCGCGCGGAGATGGTGGTGGCAGCGTCGTCACTCGGCATAAGTATTTCGGTGATGCTTTCGTCAGCATCCGAATAATTTTTGGGGGTAGCGGCGACATCAACTGACCGATCCGAACGTAGGGTCGCCGCCACCAGCTCAGGATCGCCCGGGATCTCGTTACCGTGAGAAACAAGTCGAGGGCGGACGCGTCGCGAACTGTGTTGCCTCATTTTTTTATTATTATTATTTTTTATTTTTTTTTTATTTTTTTTTAAATCTCCTTTCAGTCCTCGGAGGGCTTCATTGACACGTCACACGACACCAAGGGACACGCGTGTCCGCACACTTTGCCCGTGTATGCATTCAGCATAAATGTTCTCCGTCTCTTCTCTCTCGCGTTTATACGTTACTATACTTCAGAATAAATTTTATATGTTCATGTTATAAATGTAATGAAATACTATCGTTGTTAGGAGAATTTTTCAAAATATTTAGTTTAGTTTACATTGATAATAAAACGGCGAGATTTTAAAGGTCGCTGGTTCAATATTGAAGGCTGTATAAGAGTGCAGTGGCATTTCAATCTAAATTGTAGGCGAGGTAACATTCCCAATAAAGAGAGACCTTTAAAAAAAAATACAGAATGTGCAGAGAATAATCACGAGCTATATCTTTCCTTTTGATACAGTTGATAGAAATTTTTCTTGTAAAAATATCGTTGACAGAGCTCGACAATAAGAGAACATGCTTAGTTCTTAGTAAGTACTGTAGAATATTTTTAGTATAAAAGATATTGCCTTTTATTAATTAACGTTTGAAAAATATTCGTTTTAATTATATAATGTGTATCCCTTCTTTTAAAAAATTTTTTGCTTGTGTATATATAAAAAAAAAATCAGCTGAAAAAGTTATAGTTTTCTTCAATATGCTGTGTATTTGTATGCAGGTATTTGTATATGAAAGAGAAGCTATTTATCAATAACGTATTTTGTATTTATGAATAATTTATTTCATGTTTATTTTTTTCTCATATTATTTTTATTATTTCGATTGTAAAAAAAATATTGTAAAAAAGATAATCCATTTTATTCAATAATTTAAAAATTTTTCAATTATTAAATTCAGTAAAATCACTTGCATTAACATAATTTCACTGACATCTTAAAATCGCTACTATAATTTTGATCAATTTCTTTTACTCTTCTTTCGTTATATAAATCTGACATAAATTAGCTAAAAAGTAAAAATATTGATATAATGTTGATTGATAATTAATATTGATAATATTAAATTTTCACTTGATTCCGCACTATCACATTTTTTACATGTTTATTGAAAGTTTTTGATGATAAATTGAAAGAATCTCGAATTAAAGAGTAAAATATCCACGTGTATAACAAGTTTTAATTTTGATCAATGATTTCATTTTAGTTTAATCTTAATCTTCGCTCAATTTAGTTTAATTTCAATCTAATCTAATTCTCTTATATTTTCAAAGTTTACAGACCTTTCTATCATTTTATGGCATTCAATAACACAGCATCAAAATGTCATAAAAGTTATTATGATTTTCTTATCCGTTTTTCTCAGCACCAAAATAGCCAAAACAATCATTAAATCATGATGCGAAGGAACGATCATAAATCGTGCTTCTATAAGTGATAAGAAACTTTTTAAATGCGCATGTATTCACATGCAAATTTTTAGACTGAAGATATATAATAATATATAGAAAAAGACTCTCTCTCTCTCTCTTTCTCGTCCTCTCCCTCAAAAGTAAGCGCATTTTGCGTTAAGTATCTAAAAAATCCGTAGCTCAAAGAATTGCGCTTGGTGAAAGATACTCTGTACAATCGTATTGATTCGAGGGTATCGATCGCTTCGGAAATAAAAGCCAAGACATATCCGTGCTCTGACATCATTCCATTTACCAGCGTGCACCCATATTAGAGGAACCTGGTAAAAACGGATCGTTTTTTTTCACACACTTTCTTATCGATTCTTTAAAATAGAGGTAAAATAAAGAAAGAGCTTTCGTCAAAATCTTCACCATGCGAATATAACTGCGGCTTAAAACTTTAGATTCTGTGATCATCTCAGTTAAGTTCAGTCGTATTTTTTCAAATAAAATTGCACTATGTGTTTACATTTAATAGATCTATTTTTTATAATTAGAGAAAGAAAGAGAGAGAGAGTGGAGAGAACAGGCTGTTATAATTTTCTTCATTTAAAAATAATGTGATTCATGTAATTAGTATAAAAATCATTTTTTTTTCAAGATATCGATGCATTTTATTGAATCTATATGGAATCTGTATGGAATAAAATTTTGTGTTACAAGTAAATTATCATATTTTATACTTCAATTTCAAAAGACATTTCGAATTTTTTAATCGATAATATTTTTAATCTATGTACGATAATTTTTACAAAGAAAACTAAGATATTAGGTACAAAATAAAATTATACGTTTTTTATTTTTATGAAAGCAGTAAATAATTTTTTAAATTATATTCCCCCAAGATATTAAGATAGACTCTTTTTATATATTATTTTTATATAATTATTATTAATCAAAACATTTCAAAGGGAATGCAATAGAAATAAAATTGATTTTATTTCTGCATATTTTTTAAATGTGATAAAAATATATATATAGTTTAGTTGTATTATGGCGTCTCTCTTTTCTCTCTGCACTCCTTCTTTAAATCATCTCGAGATGCTCGAAATGCGAAAGCAAATGCCGCGCAACAAGCACTCGATAGACTCGCTTGTCATTCACAAAATTACGAGCAGCATTACACGAGTTCTCTGGCCGCTGTATAAATAACCGCGCATAATACAGCTCTTTTGCAATTGTCATTGAATTTCGAAATATGTCGTTTATCAATATGCTTATTAATTTTCTCGCATCGGTTATCAATGACTTAGAAAAACGTTAATCGTGTACATCTTTCAGATTTAGATATCCAGTCAGTCGTGCGTTCCTTAAATTACTTCTTTAATTGACTTTCGGGGATAAAAATGGAAAGCTCTGCGGAGCGTTAAGTTAGTCTCGACGTTCCATTTAAAAATACCCTCGCACAGGGATCAAATCAAGATATCGTTAATTCGTAACAAATTTTACCGAAATGTCTCTGTAAAATAAAAAAACATTTAAAGATAACGAGATGAAAAAAAACTGTTATTTGTATTATAAAAAATAAGAAAATCCTTTAACGATAGAAACTTTCAAAGAAATCTTGTAAACTTTCTTCCTATTCGTTAAAAAAGAATGATACGCGATGCTATATTCTTTAATAGTTCAGATTTATTAAGTTAATCGCGCGAAATATATATCTTGTTTTATTGCCCAGCGTTAATTTTGTCTTTTTTATGAAAATATCCCAATTATTACACATTGGGATCCCTTCCATCCTGCAGGATTTTACTTTGAATAAGCTGTTATTGATAATTTTTTAAAGTAAGACACATGTGAAAGTGCTCTCTTATTTAAAATAATATTCAAACAGAAGAAAAATGGAAACTATTCTCTTCAATGACATCAAAACTTGTTTTATTTTTATATTAATAACGATTATAAATTAAGCAACGAGATTATCCTTTGAATTAATTATTTACTGAACATTTTCTATTGCAAAATTCTAAATTTTAAGAAGCAATATATACAGAATGAGTCATTGCAAATAGAACACTTGCATATCTCTCTTAGATCTAAAGATACGACAAGATGTGTAAGGCATAACTTAAATGCAATTCTAAACATGTCTAACATACATTTACAAGTTGAAGGATATATTAAATAAAATAATAATGTTATACCTTAAAAAGATCTCTGTTTCTCCCCCCGAAATTATTCTTGCATAATTTCAAATTTCTATGTTATTTTCGTATTTATAATTCGGTTAATATAATTACAATTTAATAACAGCCAAATCATTGAATCTTGATGTATGTATATCAGCCATAATATACCGATAAATTATAAGAGATAAAAATCCGTGATTCTAAAAGAATCAAATAATTATGACAATTCTAGAAAAAAATATGGTATTCATCCTTTCTAAATTAAATGAAGATATTTAAATATTTTTTTTAAGATTTCAATAACGTATACTCATTTGTCAATTAAAAAAAAAAACCTTTTACGACAAGATTGAAAACCAAAGATTCAATCATTGTGTCATATCGTCATTAAACAATCGTATTGCCATTAAACTTTTCTGTGCATTATAGTTTTCCTTAATTATTAATCCACATATTTCCGTACATATCCCCGTCAGAAGAGCGCACGATTTTATTAAGGAGCGAGACAGAAAGAACGGCGTCGATTCATTATTGACTCTGGAATTGAGTCAGCCGGAGTCACTGGATGCGAGACGGAAAAGAAGAAAAAAAAAACTGCATAAAAATTTTAATCGGTAAATTTACAGCGACTTTTACTATCGAATAATTAGAAAAAGGGATTACAAGAGCGACACAAACAGATCCGAGCGAGAGCGAGCTCTCGTAAGACGTCGTAAGGAGCCGAATTTTCTGCCGTGCCGAAACGAAAAGCGGCGTTTCAAAAGCGTCCCGAAAGCGTGGGTGTTTCGTGCTGTCGAAGCTACGCAATAGCCATCCGCGGAATTGAACGTCACACTGAAGGCCTCCCGAACGAAGGCTCTGTATACACCTTGGAACGACAAGAAACGAGTCTGCGCTCTTTGCACGTGTTCATTATGGAAAAGCGACCATGGGGGAGGCGAGGGGTGAGGCGAGGGGTGGAGGAACGCTGCCAAAAATTCGTAAATCTGCTTCTCATACGACTTCAGCTTCGCGCAGAGTCAAGTCTGGTCAAATCAGTCATCCTCCCCCGACTCTCCATTTTTAACAGCTCGGCCGAAACGTCAAATTCGACAAACTCGAATAACAGCTCGTCTTCGATCGATATGATAGTGCCAACATTTTACGCTCTTTTACACGCGTAATAAGTTGTGTACCGAAAAATATTTTAGATTTTCTTCTGACTGCGTTACTTTTCGCACTCAAAGCGAAATAAATTATATATTCTATAAAATAACATTTTCATTAGATACATTCAGAAAGGAAAAAGGTGAAAAAAAGTTGAAAGAAAATACAAGCGCAGGCAAAAGAAATAGACCTTTCGAAAGCGATATAGTTGTCTGAATTGCGTCGTAAATGACATAATTTCTCATAAAAAAATAATAAAAAGTATATTATAATACTCTATCCAGTCAATTGCGAGACTTTTGAAGAAAGACATTCTTGATGAAAAAAGAGTTTCATCTATGCAATTATATATTGACATTATATCCGATATAATTTATTGATAAACAAGATACTGTACTTGTATCATATGCAACTATATAAATTTGCTTGCATGATACTATTAGTATCTATCATAATAAATGTCAATATTATTATTAAATCTTATTGATCTTTCAAAATGGTCTATAAAATATTTGCAGTTTTGCATTAAAAACTTGTGTGGCCTTTGACAACATAATTAATTATCACACAAAGAACTTATGTATCTTAATGAATAAATATTACCGAGCACAAGAAATAGACTTTTCATATTCAACACATTATTTTTCTGAAAATTATATAATGAAAAAATATTTATACCATATTTTTCACTTTTTATGTATATTTTTTTTCTATATGAAATAAACTTTATCGAGTATGTTCCCCATTATTTGCATTATTTATCATTATATTTTTAAATCTATGTAAATATCATAAATTTTGTTAAATTTTTAATACAATGAAATATAACTCTATTTAAGAAAATTATTAAAAAAATACATGTATATTTATATTAAGAATATTATAACAAAACTTAATAATATAAATATTAATAAATATAAATATAAATATTATTAAAAATATTAATATGAATATATTCTTTTCATAAAAATTATGAAATGTATGAAAAAAATTTTACTTATATATTTTGTATACAAATAACACGTAAATACATATATCACTTAATTTTGTTATATTTTACAATGACTAATGTGCAACGAAAAATGTTTTTTATGGAATGGAATATACCCCATGATGCTTGCTACAAATTAAATGAAAAAAAATGTTCTGTGTCTATTATTCAAATACTTCCTACCTCGTGTTAATCAGCTTAATTGATCTTAAATTATAAATCAAATAAAGGGAATCAATTTAATAAATTAGTTCAAATAATGCAATAAATAATGAAATTTAATTACCGTCGTAATTAACTTATTAAGTTCGCATGATCGTTTGCATGACCCGAGGTGCATTCATGTGAAACATATAAATTCTTTTAAAAACATGAGGGTAAAATATGTGACGAGAGATTTCGAGAGATTAAAATTCTTGGGTCCTCAAAACTGTAATAACGATAAAATTCATAATATTTGTAACAAAATATTGAACTTCTTTTCTCTCGCACATGTCGAAATTAAGTAATTCCTTCACTGTATCACTCTTCTCCCTTTATGCTTTAAATAATATTTAATAAATTGGAAAAGTATATATAGGAGAAAAGTATATATATAGAAAAAGTTACTTTGAAAAAAAATGTATAAATCTATTGTATGTCAAACACAAGTTATAAAAAACTAATTATATATTTCGTGCAAATGAAAAAAGTAAAATTTTTTGTTTCTAATTGATGTCACTTCAATTAGGGTAAAAAGAGTAGTACGGTAAGAGTTATTGCATTATCCTAATGCATTATATATTCGTATATCGCACAAATTTCTAAGCTCTATTCATGATTAAACATTCGAGAATAATCGTGCTTACACTTTTAAAAATACTGTGAGTATATTATTATTATAATAAAAAAATACTCACTTTGTTTTGGAGAGATTCGGATCGCTGGTTTTCCTCTTTTCTCTTAGTTGCCTCTGCAATTGAAAACGTGCAACATTAGATTACTATACTAATGATAGTTTCATCGTTAAGCAATGAAATAACACATGTGTTTGTGAATGCTTGGTGCATTTTTCACGATACATTTTTTTCGAAATGTCGAAAAAATATGTCATAATATTTGCAATCTTAATTTTACTAATTAAGACAGAATAGTAAAAAAAAATTACAAAATATATTCTCTCATTCCACAAAAAGAAAATATTAATATTTTCAAAGCTTATAGTAATATTCGCTTATTACTAACAAAAAATTTCAACATGTGCCTAATTCTATTTATAAATTATAAAACATATGAGTCGTCCACAGGCTAAAGCGATTCATCAATCAAGTGTTTTAACATTAAAATTTTAAAAAATTCGAAAAGTTGAGTTAATCGCTTTAGCTTGTGAATGGCTCATACATAAAATTATCAAGAGATAAATTATTTAAATCTAGGACACTGCGGCACTTTTATACGAGGTGTTATTCATCAATAATTGGCAAAAATTAAGATTTTTTTTTTTAAATACAAAAATCCTAATATGAAAATCGAAATATACACGCATGTTATATGTTTGTATGATATGTAAAATAGATTATTAAATATATTGTATGTCTGAGACAAAATTCTTTATATTATATAATTATATGTAATATTTAAAGGGTTTCAATATTTTTGAATTGTCATATAAAATAATTTAATTAATGATAATGTATACTATATTGAATGATTATGTAACACTTTATTGAATATCTATACATAATGTGTTTTTAGTTACCTTATGATGTATCCGCTCCTTGTAACTTTCAGACCTGTTGATGTTTGACGTCTTTGGCTTACTGGAAATATTTTGCTGGACCCTAAGTAATCGTAATTAACAAAGCATAAATCTTTTTACCGTCCTTTTTACGCGAATAAATTGGACGCATAAAGTAATGAATATTCATTATCAATATATATTCGCGATACTAACAATTATCTGAAAAATCAACAATTTTTGGAACGTTTAATATTTAAGAAAAATTCAATAAATAGAAGAAAAAATTATTAAGTTATTAAGTTTAGAGAAAGAAAAAATACAGAAAATCATAAATTTGGTTTCAACTGCAATTCAATGCTTCGTGAGATTATGTGGACAAAATATAAAAAACAAAACATACATATACATTTTAATATAAAGAGTGCCCGATAAGTAATATATACATATTTTCTAAGCTTCTTATAATTTTATAAAATATATCTAAATAGAAATAATTTCTCTCGTGGATTCTCTCAAATAACTCTGAAATATCTCGCATTTATACATAAAGTTTCAAAACTCATCACAATTAAATAACAGCAAAATAGCGAGTTGAAAATAAAGCTTGTTAATGAGATGTTCACCATGTACAAAATAAAAAATAGTGAGAATAAATTTATTTCAGAAAGGAACTTAAAAGTTCTTATATATATGAAGACATGGCAATGAATAAAAATATAATTTTTCGCATTGACATATATTATCTTGAATGATAGACAAAATAAAAACAGAACAATTTTTGACAATCTGACTGAGAGAATTATATCATAAAAGCATCCTATATTTTATAAAACCTTAGATATATGAAAAGTACAAATAAATATGACCGGCTAAAAATTGTAACATACATTTAATCTATTTAATAATCAATTGCAAAACAAAATTATGAACAAGAAATATAGTTTCAATAACAAATCTCTTGCTTTAAATTTTTTTAGTGTTCAATTTTGAGATATATTCAACTTTTTTTAAAACTATTTATTTAATATAATTTGATGTCTAATTAATATTAAGAGTAAAAAATTAATTATAGTAAAAAATTAATTATGAAAAATATATAATTTAATTAAAATTTTGTATAATTCCAATTAAGATCATAGAAGATTAAAAAAGATTGTTGACAAGTAAGTTTAAATAGTTAACAATTTGTATATAAATCATACAATATGATTTATGTAAAGTTTTTACATGACAAATTTTTGTATTACTTTCCGGGCATGTCTTAATTGTATCAAAATATTTATTTAAATTTTGATTTTAAAAGTTCTACGCGTATGCGGAAGTTAGTTCATAAAATAGGAACAAATAAATAAATATGAAACATAATAGATTTAAAATTTCGATTAAAATAATGATTGATTATCGAAAATATTGGAAAAATAAATGAACATATTAATATGTTTTTTGAAGAGTTTCTGTGTAAGACTATCAATATGAATAAAAAAATAGATAAATAGATAAAAAAATGTGCCAGATACATACATTTCAGAGATATCTTCTCGTGATGAAGGATTATCCATGTTATCGGTATGATCGTTAGTTCCTCCTAAACCAGAAATTCGCACCCTTTCGCAACTGCTACGAGCATTTCCGGGTATACTGCTTGAGCGCTGTTCTCCTAAAATGAATACAAATATCGACAAATTGAGATGAAATGATATGAAATTAAGATTATATAAACAGAAATTTTATAATTCAAATATTTAGTTTTTAAATACAAAAAATATTATTTAATTTACAATTTCTTTATTTTATGTTATTCTATAAAACTTGAAAAATTTCTCTCAATTCAAACGTGTATGTATACGTGTGTATAAGTATGTGAGATTGTATTATCAATATTATCACTAATTTATTATTGTCGCCGTATGCTATTATTCTGTCACACATATATTCATATGAATATTGTTTTACACGTGTTTCCTTTCACTTGCTGCTTTTTTTTTTGTAAATTCTTAGTTAATGTTTTTATTCTAATATAAGGAATAATTCCCGTTTGCTAGGTTTTTTTGTACATTAATGAGTTTAATAGTTAAAAATTAAATTTACAACTTTATTAAACGCATTATTATGCTTTATTATGCTTTACGTTTTATATAGCAATTTTTTAATCTTCTGTAATTATAAATTTTTCTTATATGCATATATGCTTATATGCAAATATACATACATACATACATACATACATACATACATACATACATGTGTGTGTGTGTGTGTGTGTGTGTGTGTGTGTATGTGTGTGTGTACATATATAAGAAAAATTTATAATTACAGAAGATTATGTATAATGTGGATAGAAATATATGCGTTGAATGAAAAATACACTATTCATCGTTTGCCAAAATTATTTGACAAATCATAAAAATGACGGCAAAAAAAACAGAAAAAAAAACGTGCGAGCAAAGATCTGGTATGTAGAAGACTGATTTGTTTTGAAGCTCGTGGTCATTCCGCTCGCGCGATAATGTGCTGATATTATTGACAGTGATACATTAACAAAGTCGTAAAAAAACTGCATTTAATTTGGCATTTTCTTAAGTTTAATTATTAAGATACATTAAAGTTCTGTTAATTCTGTTGATTAATTCTTGCTAGATGTAAGAATAATGTTTTTCAAGAATAATTATTTACAAAAATAATTATTATGATCAAAAAAGATATAGTAGTGTCTCACGTCTAAATATAGCATAATAATATAATGACGCGATTGCATATTTGTTATCGGTATGTCAGACTTTTTTCTGTATGATAATTTCAGAATAATTATTCTTTTTTAAATAAAGTAATTTCCAAGTAAAATATCTACTAAAATATCAAAGAAAGAGTTAAATTTTATTGCATGTATTAATACTATGGTGAAAACGATTACTGCACTTCTATATATTGCAAATACACATTTTAAATTTTAAAAATTAGAAATATATATATATTTAAACATATACTTTATAAAAAAATATTGAAAAAGATATTAAAAAAATGAAAAAAATATTAAAAACTATAAAAAAACGAAAAAAAGGAAAAAAAGAAGAAAAAGAATGTACCAAAAAGCAAGTACAGCTTTTTCTTTTAATAAAATAATAGTTTCTTAAAAAAATATAAAATATAATTAACTAATATAATAATAAACTATAAAAATAAAATAAAAAAAAAATATATATATATATTTATTTATTTATTTATAAATTAATGGTATGACAAATTACTGAAATCACAAACAAAACACAAATTTGTTAAAAATTACTTTTTTCACTGATGATCAATAAATTATTTTGAAAGATAGAAAACTTGATGTCTTTGTGTGAGTACAAAAATAATTATGATTATAAATATTATGGATGTTACCACTCTACTCATACAGGTTTTTTTATTACATCTGATTGCTGTTTTTATTTTACAAGATTGCATTTAAAGTTCCAATTAAAAAAATATTTGTAAAGTTTTATCTATTCCAGTTTTTATTAAGAAATCTTGTTTTATTTATTTAAAAAAATCAAGAAAAAAATGCAAGAAAATGATAATGAGTAAAAGAGAAAAGAAAGAGACTCACCATTCTCTCCATCTGTTAATGTGCCAGAATCTTCTTCATTTCTTTTAATTTTGTCTACTGCAAAATAAAACAAATTAATTTTTTTCAAAATGAATAAAGATAATGCAATACAAGTTAAAATACTGATGTCAGTGTGTAAATATCTTTTTATTAAAACCTTATTATCTTACATTTTTTTAGATAAGATATTTTAAAATCAAAATTTTTTTATTTTATTCTGATTTTTAGTTACTATACTTTTTTACAAAAACAAATGAGAGTTATAGATGTAAACATACAAAACATAAATAATTTCGATTTAGAGAGGATGTAGAAATATTTATCTCAGAAAAATATTATTTTAAAAACACATTACTTCTATAAATAATGATATACATTATTAGAAGACTAGAATCTTAATGGGTGAGACGTTCTACGAAAAAGAATTCTTTTTTTGTTTTAATAAAGATTATTTTCACACTGATTTATTAGCATTTTGATTCATATCTTTACACTGATTTTGAGCAAATTCTAAATTTTACTGTTTTATTATAATCTAAAACTGCATGTGACTTCAGTTTTGGAGTTTAACTTTATATGAGAAGTTCATAAAACAAATTAAACAAACTTATTTTTAGCAAAAAATACATGCGCGCATGTATAACATGGCAAAAAGATATATTGTTTGTAACAAAAGATATATATATATATAGTAGTAAAAGATATATTTTAAAAAAATAAGCTTTTACATAGAACAATAGGATTCTCTCTTTTATGAATCTTTCAATATTAATAATTTTTTTTGAGTTATATATATAATCAAAAACTTAACATTTAATAAATTAATTGTTTTTGTCTATCGATAGTTAATATCTACTATAAATTGATCCAATTTGCATATAAAATATTGAAAATTGATCTTACAATGTAATATATGATTCTGAGAATGATGGTGATGATGGGATGGAGGTTTTCTCTCTGGTCGAATACGATCCATCAGTTTACTGATTCTGTCATTGGCTCTTTCTTTTCGCACCAAAGGACCCGGGCAATTTTCCTCTACCACACGAACACATTGTCGATGTACGCTGAGAGAACAATCTGTCAATCAATTAATGAATGATCATTGTATATATATAAAAACATATCACATACATATAAAGAAAAACTATATGTACACCAAATTATGAGTTTCAAAGAAAACGATGTAATTTCATTGTAATAATAGTAATAAGGAAAAAATATGAAAAAAGCATAATACTTGATTTTGAAGTTTCGTACTATAAACATTTTCTCAACAAAAAATTAATATTAGCTTCCATATGAAATAACGAAAGATAAAAATAGTAAGCTTTAAAAAATTGGTTTCATAGTATATATTGTATGTTTTTAGAACTTACTATTTTTTTTCTTTTAGTTTAACAAATTGTTTTATTAATTTGAAATCATTCTTCATTAACACAAAAAATTAGATTATTAATCTTAATAATTTAAAATGATTGATAATAAAAGATTTTTTTTAGAAGTATAGTTTTAATATTAAACTTTGCTTGTGAATAATTATCATTTTTCTTATATCATTTAACCATAATGCTATAAACTAGGTATGCTTCATTTTTTATAATGTCTCAAAATTATAAAAAATAATTTGAGATAAATAATAAATAATTCATAATGTAAATAAATAAATGTCAATAACGATTGCTCTTTCTTTATTATTACTATAACTAAAAAAACACATTTTTAAAGTTTGATTATTTAGAAAAAATGATCGAGAGAAATCTATTTATATTTTTCCGAGAAATCTTATAAATATGCTATTACATAGTTATACATTTTACGTACCACTACATAAGTATCCTTGAGGTCCAATACCACCAATGATAAGTTGACAATGATTGCAATAAGTTATCGTGAAGTATTGATGTGCCACGAAATGATGTCCCCTGATTGTCATTTTACGTGATTTTCCAGTAAGCAACCGTGCTTTGATGTTGGATTTGTCTTTCGCGACGAAAGTAGGTACTCGATCGGCCCACACCGGTCGCAATTGAAATATCTTTATCAATATCGTAGCTAGACCAGCTGCAGTTGTAAATAGCCGCAAGTCCACATGTTCCTTCTCTATATCCTCCCTGAAATTTGGCACATGTTTTTCGCATTATATTATCTGATGTAATCGTATTACTCATTGATTAATTAAAGAGAGTAAACTGGAACAAATTATAATTCTTTTTAGAAAAAAAATGAAAAAAATATTCTGCTTTTTAAACATAATATGTTTGCTGTAATACAATGATTCATAAAGAAAACGATTAAAATTCTATACAAAACAATCTTACAAGTAAGGTTCCATCTTTGGCAGCAGGTATGTCTCAATAATTTTTGTTTCACGTGTTTTGTCGGATATGCTCTCATCCAGCGAAATATCGGTTGGACCAAAGATTGTGGCCAATCCTGCGGTTCTTTTTTGCTGGAAATGTGTTAGTTGTTCATTCAATTCTTCCTTTGCTCTATTGCGTGCTTTCCAAAATATCTGCATAGAAAAATATTTATCAGATTTTATCAAAAGATTTATTGCGTTTGTTAAATTCAGAAAAAAAATCGTTAATATTTAAAATTTAAATTTAATAAAATAAAGAGAGTCGCAGGGAAACTTATTTAAATTTTCATAATATTATATATATTCCTGAACAAATAAATTGAAATTTTCGGACATTTTACACGGAGACAATATATCTAAAATTAGTTTATTCAATACCTTTCTAAGAATTTCTTCTTTATCAGATTCCTTCAAGAGAACATCATCTATTTCATTTGCAACATTTTCATCTACATTATGCAGACGTAATGGCTAAAAAAAAGTACTATTTATTATATCAAAATCAATATTTATGTAAGATTTATTTACAAATGTTAAAAATAATATGAATTGAATTTGAATTTTAAATGAGATGCAATATCTTTTAAAAAATACACATTTAAATTGTAAAGTTATTTTATAGAATCCTTCATTAAAGGATAATACAAACTATAATTACATGTTACAAAAGATTATTAAAATAAAGAATGTAAAGTAAAAAAATATGTGTAAGAAAAGAAATTAAACTATAAATTCTAAGATTCTTTTTTATATTATGTATCAAGTGCGTGAAACACTTACTGCACCAGGTACTAGAAAACTAGAATGAATCTCATATGCCCATTTTCTCATTTCTTTGGCATTTCCTTCCTTGTATAAATCCGTTATCAAATAAAATAACTGCAAGAATATATCAATATAAATATATTTTATAATTTATATTTTTATATACTCTTATATTTGTCACATTTTTTGCGTATAATAAATGACCAGCAACAATTTTACATACCAGGCTAGAAGGATCGCTATTGGATAAAACATAATTAATAAATACAGCAAGATGTGCATGATGCCCCCACAACCTAGATAAAGATTGGAACGGTCCGTGATCTTCTAATTGACCCTGAAAGCATTAAAAAGTCAACATCTGAAGATCTTGGAAAGTTTCTCAGACATAAATGTTTAGATAATATCTTACAATTTCTTGATCACTAACATCATCTTCTTCCATTGACATAATTGGTTGTTGGAACGCTGGCAATCCAGGAATGATATCAGTTGCGAGTGTCTATTACAAAAAAAATTCTTGTTATAAAGAAATAAAAAAAATAAAAATGATATATTTACATAATTATATATATATATATATATATATATATATATATATATATATATTCTATATTCTTATATATATATAAATTATAAACTTTGTTATATAATTGTATTTATAATTTTCCATTATATTAATAATACAATTAATAGAACAAGTCATAAAAAATAAATTGAAAATGTAGAATAAAGATTGATCTTAAAAGTAAAATCAAGAAAAATTAATATATTTTTATTAAAATTCTCAAATTTATTATATGCTTATTGTAAAAAAACTATCACAATTACAACATGTATATACAACATGTATAATATATATTAATTAACATAAGTGTTTAAGACTTCTAACCCCTCATTGATTATATAAAACTAAAAATTAATTCAACTTTGACAGTGTAGAAAAAAATTATAATTTTTATAGTTTCTTTTTGCATTTAACATCATAATTCAATATAGTTATATAATGATTCAAGAATCTCAATAAGAAAATCAATAAACGATATACACAACGATATACACATATAAGGGAAAACAGGTTAAAGTTAATAAAATATTTACATCGTTTGGCGTAGATGAAAAAAGATCTTGTCCTAAAATGGGGGCTGGATACGGAGGCGGCGGTGTCCCCGGTGGTGTAATACGCTGTAATTCATTGACATCGATATCATTGTGTCTGAAGTGTCTTGGAGGAGATAGATCGTTCATCGATTCAGATGCGATCAAACGTCTACTAGCTTCTGACGGAGATATCGCTGTAGTTCCTAATTGTTCCGGACTCGACTTTGTTCTCTGATGTTTGGTGAGCGCGTTTGAAGCGCTCAAATTGGCATCCTGAGAAAACTGAAAAATAATTCATTATGAATAATTATTAATATACATAATATATATGTATATATATGTTATAAGTTATGTTACAGTTTGTTTGTTATCTTACAGTTTGGCTATTTATTCCAGAAAGTGTTTTATAAAAATTATTTTTCATAAAAAAAATATTTGTATAATTAAATTTCATTATGTCAACCTTTATATACAAAAAGAAAAAAGATTGGATATATAGCAAATACATATGTGTTCCTAGTATGTTTATTAAGCTCTAATTTATACTTTATATATAACATTTATAACTTTCTTTACTTTAAATTTAACTATAACTTCCAATTAACTAGAATTTATTGTATTTAAATTATAAAATTAGATATTAAAGATGTAAAAAATTATTTGATTAATAAACAATCAGTACATGAGTGTGTAAGTTAATTTTAAACACTGCGAGGGAGGAAACTAACAATTATTTATAAAATCTAAATTTTTCAAGTTCTAAGATTCCCTGATTTTCTTGTGACACTTTACTATTATGTATTATATATACATTTATCCGCACGAGCATAAATATTAAATAATGGATATTAACATAATGGTATCGGATGATTAGGCTACTTACAGAGTTAGGAATACTGTGACTGACAGTTGAGGGCGTTAAATGAGTCAACAGATGTCGGTCCAGCTCCAGCTGGGCTGTATTTTGCGTATTTGCGGCGGGTGGAGGTCTGGGAGGCAAAGGCGGTGGAGAGAGACTTTGCATGGATAAGGATTTACGCGACGGCAGTGGGGGTGGCACGTCTGCGCCACTGCCGTTATTTGAGAGTGGGTAATAGCCCGAGGAGCACGAGGTGTTTGTTACCAACGAGCAAAGCTGTAAGACACAACAAAAGATTGCTGTTACCGAAAAGGCAAAGCTGTAAGACACAATGATGGGTTAGCAAAAGTGGGCGAAAGCTTCGGTGCATTCACGGTAAATTGATATACAGGGTGGTCTATTGTCGGTAGTACAACTAGAAAAAGAAACAATTCTCTAAAAAGTAAAAAAGAAAAGTGTAAAGTAAAATTTTTTTTTATTAAAAAGGTTTGTTATTAAAAAGGAGAATTTTGCTTGTGTGAAGATTGAGAAATTAATATAATATAATTAATATAACTGCCATTACTAAATTTAGACAATTTTGAACTATCTTTCGATATGTATGCAATATTCTATATTCAATAACGATTATTAAATAAATATATAAGTAAGAAATAAATAACAATAAGTATTAAAAATTTTGTATAAAAAATAATAGAAAATAATTGTGTAAAATATTAAGATTATATTTTTATTCATATTCTAGAAGCTGAACTGTTCCATTTGTTTTACCGATTTATCCGCTTCTCCTCTCACATCGTTAGAAGTGATATAACATAAACGAAGAAAAGAAATTTATTTTCTGATTTTTTGAAAATAAAGTTTTGTATAAAAAGAAAAAAATATTTACATTTACGAAAAATATTGTCATTCAAAATTATCTCATCTTCCAGTTGTACCTTATAACAGATCAGTCTGTATTAACCCATTTGCCACATTGATAAGATTAAATGTCAGATTTACAGGCGTTTTCTTGGAGTCTTGGCTATAATAATATACAGAATATAGAACAAAAGAACACTAGCTTGGGATCGAGTAAGCAATTCAATTTTAAAAAGTTCAAATAAATATATAACTCCAAAACTGCCTCCTCAAAAAATATTATTCTTCATATTAAGAAAATTTCGCATTCTATATTTCTTGAATATTTTATTTCGTATACAGATATAGAGATATTATTGTTTATTGATATTAAAACCATAAAGAATTTTTTTCATATTATATGAAAAATAACATTACACTCGAAAAGAAAGTCCGACGCTTTTTAGGAATAATATTTTATAAAAGCATTTTCAAACATATTATCATATGTGTCATAAAATGTATCATATTTCTTTAAGTATTTCTTGTATAATCTAATTAAATTATCAAACATTTGCCATCAATAGAATAATATCGATCGATAAATGCATTCATCACACAATTCCTTGAAATAATCAATATATAATGTATATCGTTTTTTAGCAAGTGCATGTTTACTGATATATGTTTATTAGAACTTTCTAACTTAAAATAATTTTTTTCCTTTAATTCTTCACCAGCTTTTTCACTTAATTACAACCTATATTTTCGAACTCTTAGATGCATTAGATACCCAGATAGCCAAATTTGTCGAGAACAGATTTTACAAAGTGTCTCTGCTACGAATTTTGTCGGCAGGAAGGCTACAAATTCGATATAGGATTTGGCGTATATGCAATGCTGACAGAATACCGATAGAAATGTAAAAAAATTCAGCGGCAAAAATTAAGCAGATTTGGCAAATTTGCAACACAAATTAACGCAAATTAAAGGCAGTCTCTGCCGGCAGAACACGAGCAACTTAATGCCGCTTGTTGGTATACTGCCAACATTTTTCTCATTAAATTGGTTAATCCTTCTGTCCAATAAAGGTGCACGTAGATGTTGATGAAATTTAACATATAACTCCTATAAGGAGATGATATAGAGAAATAAGCAGACCTGTTCATTACTCGTGCTAATCGCTGCGAGCTGTTCCTGCAGGGTGCGCACTCTTCTTTCGGCACCCGCTAATTCTGTCTGTACAGTCGCAACGTTGACGTTTCCGCTACCAGTGCCAGCCTTCGCCAACTCGCTCCGTAATTTATCTACATAGCTTTGTTCTTTCTCCAACATAAGCTGGAATGTGTTAACTCTTTGTGTTTCCAATTGTCGCTTCTTTTCAAGCTGTAAAAAGCAAGAATGATATTTAAAGAATAAATAGTAATATAAAGATATAGACTATAAGATAATAATATATAGACACTTAGAACACTATCTTTTTATTAACATTTCTTTTATCTTTTTATATTCCTTTTATCAATTTTTGAAATAGTATTAGGATACTGATATTAGTTTATATATCTTATGGGTATATGAATAATCGCGTGATTCACTTGCATTTTGAATCATATCATTTTTCTTTTTTAAAGTGCCACATAATACTTTTGCATTTTTTTCTATTATTATTATAGATTTAATTACATTATAATGTTATAATATTCCATTTAAAAAAAGAAAGAAAGCTTCGGCACTATCTTCGCTCTCTCTAACGTGAGAGTTAAAGAGATAAAGACGCTGGGGAGAACAGAAAAGAGATTAAGTTTCCTAATATCTGCACATGTCATTTACAATTAAGATAGAGAGTACAGTCTATAAATTATTACATGCGTTTATAAATAGACTCAAAATATCTCCAATTGACGTATCTCATAAATAGCGTCCTCTTTCCACCTAATTCAATCTCGTATAATCCCGTAATTCCGTAATATTCCTCCACAAGTGATTGTTCTTATTTGTGAATGATACGCTCTTCTACTTACATCGACTGGTTGTGGACCCGTGATTCGAGCATTACACGAAGCACCGCCTGCCGGTGCGGTGGATGCTCTGTGAAGAAACATGGTCGTTTGCGACGGTGACATGTTTCCTGCCGCCGACAAACTGACCGGACGTTGATGCTGCTGACTCGTCGCAGCACCGACTACTCCGACTTGCAGACCGGAAGCTGTCGTTGCTGTCACTGTCGCTGTTGTTGTCGCTGCCCCCGTCACTGCCACTGCGCTGCTCGCTGCCACTGGCTTCTGTTGCACCGTTAGTACCACTTGCGTCGATGCTACAACAAAGTTGAATCATTTCAGTTATCATTATATATAAATGATATAAATATAAGAATAAACTTAATTTATAATATCTTAATCTTATCATATTCACCCCTATTAATCTTATCACATTCTATCCTAGCTCCTATTTTTTCATATTCTTTATATTTTTCATTGTTTCTTTTATATCTTTAGTTTAAAATATCACAAATATATCTCTATTCTTATCCAGCAACTTATCTTATTTTGAATTATTTTATATAAAGCAAAAAGATATTATATAGTGTTAATTTCTGTTTGAGTGTCATTGGTTTTATTTGTATATTGAAAAAAGCATATTGCAACAAAAAAGTTTTTCTCTGTATATATATGTAATTGATATATAAAAGAGCAAGATTCAAGCAAATATTCCTTTCACCAACACTCTAGATTTAGAGAAAAAAGCTTCGAGATCTTTAATTTTTTTAACATTTGTAAAAAATATAAAATCTTTATAAGTATATTAACTTATTTGTTTATTACTCCATCTGTTTCTGTTGTATTCTAACTTTTTAAATACTTAATATTTATATATCTAAAATAACAAAAAATTAATAAATTAATCCTTATAATTATATAATTATCCCCAATAATATAGCAGTTTAAAAATAAAACTTAGAAACGAAAATTTACAAATTCAATCTATAATATGCTATAAGAGAATGAGAAATATTAAAAGTATTCTTGCAAGCAAATAGAATTACTGTCCATAATTTGTAATATTATTGAAAAATATCGTATAAATGATAAACACACGCATCCGAAAATAAACTTGAATCATCTCTGAGTTTAAATATATACAGGATACTATATACATACACATTTCATGTAATATTGCATATGTATTAATTACATGTATTTATATAAAAGTATTTCTATTGTAATGTTAACAACAATTACCAGACACAGTTTGAACACCATTTGTCAACAGTTGAAAAAGACAAATAAAATACAATTTAAGCCACGAATCATGCCGTGCACAGTATTACGCGATTCTGAGATACATCTGTAGAACAAACGCAATGTGTTAAAAGCTCGTGTACGCGTCACGTCTGCGTGCGATCGAGATGAAATAGACGACTGAAACGGTCACTGCTATAAACCTGCATGCTTACATCATTGGAAATGATTCTTATGCTTTGAATTTTCGTATGTATGTATATGTTTGTGTGTAAGATTATGTAAGACATCGATGTACAATAATTCTTTTCATCAAAAAAATTTGATTAAAAAGATACTTATATAATTGGATTTTTATTATTCATGAAACAAAAGAAAAATTACAAAATAATATTTACAAATGTTAGGATCCAACAATACATAAAATATTAGCTAATAATTAATTATTGCTTATAAAATATAAGCAATACATAAAATCTTCTAATGTAGTAAATATAAAACTCTATATAAGAATATAGAATTATATAAAATTTTTACAAAAACAACATTTCTCTCTCTTTCTAAAATATAGTTCTTTCTAAATACATTACAATATCATTAACATATATTATATTATATACCATTAACATATATTATATAATATTTTAATAAGAAATAGAAAATAAAAATGCACACACACACACACACACCAAATAGTACCATACCTCTTAACATCAATAAGACTTCAATCTAATTAATAAAATAAAGAATTAAGCAAAAACAAAGAATACTCACATTTTATAAGCTGGACCACTTCTATGTGTGTAGACTGCATCACGTTAACTCCATTCACCTTTAATAAAAATAAAGAAAAAAAAACTACTTATTACATCATATGTAATATAGTTGAATAGTTATATTATTTTTTAAATATCTTTAATTTTTGAATTTTAATTCTCCTTCTCTTGCATTTCAAGCAATTTAATATTAATAAGTTTGTACATTCACATGAAATAATTAGCAATCAAACTTTTATATTCTTTACATTCTCCTATTCATTATCATCTCTTCTTTTTACATTGTTCTAATATGTATTATTTCACATTTGATTACATGATATTATGATTTTAGAAGGATTTATAAAATAAATGTTACTGTGTGCATAATTAATGTTAATTAATCATATACATTAACGATATTTTTGGAAAATAATAATAACAAAAATGTCATAATGTATATAATTAATTAACATTAATTATGCACACAGTAACATTTATTCTATAAATTCTTTTAAAAATTTTGAACTATCTCATGTACAGCATAAACCTTGAAAAGCTTAAAATTATATTCAACTTGTTACACAAGAAAAAAAAGAAAGTAAAAAAACTACTGCTGTATAATACATTAAAACATTGCATCAAGCATATTATTCTTTATCTGCAAAACTGATATAAGTAATTTTTAATTATTTTATTAAAAATCACTTAATATATAGTCTATACAGTTTATTTTAAACGTTAAAAACTTGACAATGGTAAAATATTGAAATTTGTTTACGATCTGACAATAGATTATTTTGTAATACAAAATAATAAACAACCACTTGTTGTATTATAATAACAAAAGAATTATATAAAATCCTTAAAATAAAATATATATATATATATATATATATATTTTTTATTTTAAGGATTTTATATAATTCTTATGTATCTATATATATATATATATATATATATATATATATATATAGATACATTGTCATATTTAAAGTTTATTAAAACATTATTTTATCTTTTGCAACTAATAACTCAAAAAGTCGATTAATGTTTTGATATTTCTGTCAAGGGAAAGAAATCTAAATTAATTGGAAGATCTTACCATGTAAAATCTGGATATAAATTTGGGAGAATTCACAATACATATATATCTACAAATATGCTATTAGCTGTAATGATGTAATGCAAAAAACAATACGAGCACAAGATAAAAACAATCTACATGCAATTATATACATCGAGTGTTCCAATATATAAAATAGAACTTTTTCATAGTGTATATAAAGTTGCACACAGCTATAATGATATAATTAAAGTAAATAACACATATTAAAGGAAAAGTAATCAATAATCTAATAATTAAAGAGATCTTTGCTTTCTATTAAATTTCAATAATTAACTCATTTTTATTCACCTTGATTATTTTATCACCTGCGTGAAGACCGGCTCTTGCTGCTGCGCCATCTGCAAAAATCATATCATATTTATAGCAATTTCCAAGTGTATGTGTATGTATTAGAGTGCAAAGAATAAGTTTCCTTGTTTTATTATAATTTTTATTTACACCTTACCTTATGCACAAATTCAATTTATCGTGTTAAAATAGAAACTAACAATTACTTTTCAATATAATCTTTGAAAAGATTGATATACTTGTTTTAGCACAAGTTTGAAGATTCCCTCTTGCTAAAAAATCCAGACTTTTGATATTTAAATTATTTTTTAAGCATTCTGCATTGCATCGCATGAAGGAGACAATTTGAAGAAAGATATGTAGAAATTTTTTCTTAGAAAAGACCTTTCTTGTGAATTTTCCTGGTAATGCTAGACCTCACTGTGCATGTTAAACTTATAATCTTTTGTAATTATTTGATTGAAACATTATGGAGCATCTTCTCTAAAACCTCTAATTTTCATTTGTTTGAACTCAGGAATTTTGAAAATCTTAATTTTCACATAATGCAACGATTACAAATATTGTTGAAGAATGATTTAAGTCAAGAGTCGGAGAGAGAATCTTGAAACTCATACAAGAGTGGAACAAGTGTATCAATCTTGTTGAAGACTGTAATCAAAAAGTATTCATTAGTTTGTACTTTAACATAATAGATCTAATCCAGTCTAAAATCTAATCTAATTTATGCATAAATGATAGATAAGAGTTACAATGAAACAGGAAACCCTTTAGACCCACCCTAGTATACTAATAGCAATATTGACGTATTTGTATAAGAATTATGCAAAGTGACGCTATTCATGCAAATTAATGGAGCTTCGATGCGAACCTTCTTTCACGGATTGAACGTAGACCGGATTGTCGCCAGAAACTTTCATTCCGAATCCAGCATCATCCTTGTATATTACGAGAGTGGCGATAGGTGCTGGTTCAATGGCTCCACCACTGATGGCGCCTGCCTGACCAGCCCCGACGCTGCGCCGCAGCGCTGCCGTTCCATTCATCCCTTCTTCGAGCTCCACCCCGCCACCACCTCTATTGCTACCGACCTGCGAGAATTCTCGTATATATACCAAATATATACCAAAATTATGCCATAGATTTCACAATTACGTCTACATGGATGTTTACGATCTATATGATGTTTATGTGTACATTTTTTTTTCATGTAGACAATATAAACTTTAAGTTAGATGTCAGAATGGAAAATGATTGTTATAAGATAATTAATGTATTGATATGTGATTTTATAATATCAATTAAGAGGATGTTAAAAATTTAGAAATGAGATTTAGTTTACTAAATCCTCTGTTGACTTTTCGTGGTAAAATTATGTAGTTATGTTTAAAACAACATTAAACACGAAATAAAGTATTAAAAAAATCTCTGATAAATTATATTTCATAGATTTTTTTCTATATTACTTATTGTTTATACGTATAGATTATTTTAGCATATCTAAATGTTCAACCTTAATATGTACAGACATTTACTTTTAACAAATTAATAATTATATTGATTAAATTTATTACATTGGATATCAATTCGAAAAAAAATACGCTATATTTGAAATGTATTATAGAGTCTATTTTAAAGGATACTTTGACAAATTTTGATTTATACGAGATAATATTTCAATGTAGTTAAAAAGAGAATTATTAATTTTTATTAAAAGAGAATTATTAGTTGTTTGATATTTGGGAAAAGAGATTTAATTAATTAGCTGATATAGGAATGTTTATAATAAATTTTCTGTATGATTCCTAATTTTATCTCTTTTTCTACATATACATTAAATAAAAATTAATAATTCCATTAACAAAATAATATTAAAAAAATTAATTTTAATTTTTATGTATTCGAAATAACATTAATATTGAATATGGTGAGATATAATAAGATGAACAATAAGATGAAAAATGTACAATAAATAACATTAATATAAATTATCTACGAAAAGTCAAAGCTATTTAAATTTTAAATCAAAATAAGATTAAAATAATAAACGGAAAAATATTGTTTCCTTCTTTTCAGAAAAGTTCGAGTTTGGCTACCAAAGTGAACACGAATAGCCACAAGTATTTGTTCCATAAAATATAATGTATTTTAAATACTATATAGCACAAAAATATTTAACTTGTAGGCTTGTATGTATATTTCTCTTTCTACCCCTTTCTCCCTTTTAAAAATAAATGTATTTCTTATAATCTATTTCATATAAAACAATTCATATAAAGCAAGTTTGATATAATATGATAAGTTTTCAATATAAATATAATGTTGCACAATATCCAAGATTTTAAGCTCTTTTATCTTTGTGTTTTAAAGAAACACTCACATGTGTGTGATAATGTTAAGAAATTTATAAGTAGGCTATCATTTAATAAAATTATAACAGTGAGAATAAAAATAACAATAAAATGTTTAATGTATTCAACATGTTGTTTTATCAAAATCATGTCAAATTTATAAGAATTCAAATAATTGCATTTTTGGGATATATTATAAGATGCAATAAATAATTTTATTTGGATTTTAAAACGTTTGTTTTGTGTGTGTGTGTGTGTTTTCTCAAAAAACTACTTTATATTAAGTCTATCAATTTAATATAATATTAATAAATTATTGATTTTATATATATACATATATTTCTTATTTAATTGTTGCAAAATACAGTGTATGTATTTTTCTAAATTTGTATAATGATTAAAAAATAGAAAATTGCAGAATAATATAATGAAAAGTATTCTGTTATTGATATTATATTTATCTACTAATTGATGTAATAATTTAAATAACAGAATTTAATTTAATCATAAACCTATGTGTGGACATAATATTTGTCTATTATATTTTGGAAATAGATCCTGTAAATATCAAAAAATATTATATATTCCTTATGTAATAAATATGAAAATAGTAAAAAAAAAATAAAAAATGTAATTAAAAGAATGCTACAAATGTAATAATAAGTTGATAGTCTCTCGCTATAACCTTGTGACGAAGTATTTTAATAAGGACAGTTAACAAGATGCCTACACATATATCAGATAAATGACACATTTTGTATGTATTTATGGGAGCTGTTTAGCAAGAAAACATAAGTAAAAATCTCACACTTGGTTTTCAAATAGAGAATTTTTGAAATTTAAAAAATTTTTCTATTTGACAACTAATCATGAGACATTCTCTTTATGTGTTTTCTTTCAGAAAAGAATCCTATAACATTATTCCCACATATTTATAATTGTTATATATATATTCTTACTTGCAGAATAATGTAATTATTTTGCACAAAAGATTATCTATAATTTAACTTTTTAATATCCAATGTAATTATCATAAAATATGCTATAATAAATAAATAAATAACCTATACATATAAAATAAATATAACGCAAAAAATAAAAAAAAAAAACTTTATTCTATGTATAAATATTCTCATAGAGTAGAGATTATTTGACATAGTTGAAAAATATTACAAGCACAAATGTCACATTCAAATAACACGTGTCACTTTTCCCCTGGAAAATGTAAATATGTACAAGAACTTTTAAAAATTTTTACAAATCTAAAAAAAACTCTTAACAAAAAGGGAAACAACATAAAAAAATACTAATCGAAAATTTTACACAGAGGCATTCTCTCAAATATGCATCTAAGTATCCAAGAACATAGTACAATACATTGAACACATCCAGAGAAATTTCATTTTCCATATGAAACACATTTAAGAGGACAAGGAAAGCGATAATGAGAGCAACGTATTTAAAGCTCTTGGAAGTGAAACATCTTGCAACAGGTCTCTGAAAATGATACAATTTAAAAATCAGTAATGCGCGTAGGGCTGCGTTCGGAAACATCGTCCGAGTGTACTCGGCTATCATTTTATTCTTGTTTAACATTCGGTGAACAACAGGAATAAAATGATACCCGGGGGCATTCGGGTGATGTTTCCGAACGCAGCCCTGGGAAGCAAGCAAGGTCAACAAGACGTGCAAGGTGCTCGGTTAACTGTCGAAGGAACGTGTAAGCGACAGAGAGTGATAACAATGTAAAAATGTACGACGTGTGATACGATTACCTTTCATTTAATCTATACTTGACGGCAGCGAGTAAACGTTAATAAGAAGTTTCAACAGGACGAGACGATCTGAGATGAGATGAGATGAGTCGAGACGAAACGAGGCGAGGCGAGGCGAGACGAGGCGAAACGAGACGAGACGGAACGAGAGGGAACGAGAGGGAACGAGAGGAGACGGGACGAGGCGAGACGACGCGACACCGCACACGAGACGAGGAGGGATCCTTCGCGAGAAAGAGCCAAGTGCCGTTGATTGCGCGCGCAAGGATCGCCTCGGACGGGCAATAGAGCGAAATAAATATTGTATCACGTTGTCACAACAAAAGGACACTCGATGAACATGGCTGGTGACGGGCGACCATTCCGCCTTTCACGCACAGCATCCCATTCCGCGGGGCGTTCGATCGCGACGGTGGAAACCCGGAGGGAGGCGACTCCGAAGGATGCCCGAGATGCGCGAATCGCGAGGACAAGCGGCGCGCGAACGAGCCGTCACGCGAACGAACGGAGCGCGACTCCTTTTGCGAAATACGCATCGAATTCGAACTCGAGAATTGCGCTACTAACAAGTGACAGCCATCTTAGCGATGCATGGGACACTACCACGGTTTACAGGATGCCATTGTGGCGGATTCGCATCGCGCTCGACGTGTGACAGTTTGACAGCCAATGAGGAGTCAGTTGTGGCCGACATTTTCGTCCCTAGGAAACGAGTTCCCTCATTGGATGTAACTCATGGCATGGAACTCGATGTAAATTCTCCATTAATTTAATTTATTAATATTAATATAAATATATATATATTGATTACATGTCAAATATATAAAGAATTTTTAGAATTCTTCGAAAATTTCTTGCGTTAACAGTCAATTTATATATCCAAAAAAGCTTGTCGCGCGATTAGCTGATTGGCTGTTTTCACAAGAAATTTTTGGAAATTTTAGAAATTCTCTATTCGATAGCCAATCAGTTTATTCGACGAAATGTAATCGTCAAGCGTAATTATAATTCAAAAAGACTTCAGTTGTCTTGGTTGATCAAGTTTCAATTATTATTAATTTATATCACTTTTTGACAAATGTAGTGTTTTTCATTTAATATAGTAAGCTAAACAGTTTAAAGAATTGAAATCTAATAATGATATATTATTGTTAATTAACAAAACAAGTTATTTCAAAATGTTTATATATATCTGTGATTTCAGATTTATGGATATGATATTTTGCACGTAATCAAAACCACGAAATAAAAGTAGAAAAAATTTTAATTGAGGGGATAAACAAAATGTGTTGATATAGATACATGTTAAATATTCGCATGTAATGCTATATATATAATTAAAAACACATATATATTCAACATTTCTGTCTCTTTCGAGCCATTCATGAAAGGATAAAAAAAATCATAAGGTAACGTAATGTCTAAATTAGGTCCGCCGACAAAATGATACCTGGATGGCTTTGAAACATCATAGAAATTGACATGAGAAATAATGTCAATACGGAGGATGTCCGTGCAATTCTTTGGTATGCACTTTGGCCAACTAATATCCTCTTCCTTACCAAATGTGATGCCGATACCCAATATCTTGTAATTCATTAAAGTTTTTGGCTCTGGCAATTTTGAGTAAAGGATATTCAGATGCATAGATGTAAGTAATCCTGAACATAAGATTCGTTTCCCAATTGTATGTGCAGTGATGACACTTTGTGGTATCCTGTCAAACACGATTTGCAACCAGTCGGTTGTATCTTTCTTGATGACATTACCCATTTTAGAAACATAAGCACGATAACTTGCATTTAACAAAGAGTCCCTCAACAAAAGACTCATAGTCAGATTCTGTAATTCCTTGCAAGATAATGCGGTGAAGTTTTTTATTAACAATTTGGCAGAGCATCTCAATTTAACATCTTCACCGAATGCAATGATATGCCTATTGATTCGATCACATTCTCCATTTTTCCCAGCCAAAGGCAATGTGAAAAATCCATCAGTTTTGTTGAAGAAAATCTCGTTGCTTTTATTAGTATGAGAAATGCCAAAAATGATTGGTTTGCCCATTATGTAACCAGGATTTCCACTACGAGTAAAAACTCTTGTTTTATTCGCATCTATCCAATTGTATTGGACCTCAAAATATTGGTAAAAAGCATGAGAAGCATTGCCTATATCGAAATATGCATCAATGTTATTGATACCAGCAGAACCATTATGAGCGATTACATATTTCAAACCCTTTACAATATTGGTACAAGTGGAGTTTGTACAAAAGCTTGATATTTTGGTTCTATTGCATATGGAAAACGAGTTTCGACAATAATGTGTCCTCACTGGCAAACAAATATTATTTTGACATGCCTGAAAAATATAATTTTTAAAATTAGCTCTACTAGTAAATGTATGAAATAATGAAAAAATTATACAACAAAGTCAAATTAAAAAATATACAATTTTCGACTGTAGGATATTTATTATTGATTTTGTCATAAAAATTGTTTTCAAATTATTGTATTGCAATAACAAAAAAATTTTAATTTCTTAATATATTATTAATATTTTTATATACAAATTTGTTCTCTTCATATTAAGTTTGGCAAGAGGTAACATTATATATACTGTATTATCAGATCATGTTACTATAATGCATTCATCAATTTCCTCACAATTTAGTCACAATTGATAGGAACTTGAACAAATTTTATATCAATTTATAAATTTGATTTATATACTTTATATAAAATAGATTCGTTATGTACATATTTTAAAACAAATTTTTTTTAATTACCTGTTTTCGAACAAATGTGTCGTTAAGTGATGGTAAGGAATTAATAACTGTAAAATTATTGAATGTTATGCTAAACAAATGTCGATTCATATTTGTCAAATCATTTTGTATGCATGCGCCTTTCCAATTTTCCAAATATCGTAAAGTCTTTTTAAACGAACATATTCCAGTGAATCCAGATTGTAAGAGGTCTGAAATATATAATATATATGTCATTGATAAATATTATATAATTTATATTCTTGGTAAGCTAAGATCGCGCGCACGATTTCATATTATTTAAAAAATTTTTCATTAAAGTAGCAGAAGAACTCTTCAATTTTTGATTGAGACTGCTTTTATCATTAAGTTATTCAAGCTTTCAAAAAAATTTTCGGATTAGAGATCAGTTCATAAAGTATAGATAGTATAATATAGACTTGAATGTCTATAATAATTAAAAAAATTTCAAATTGATTACAAACGTTTATAATTAAATGTACATTGTTAACTGCATCTTTGATTTTGTCAAATTATAGCAAATGATGTGGTTAAAATCTTTATTTCATCTAATTCTATCTTTTCCTCTCTTTATTATTTATAGAAAGACTATCTCACTATATTTTTATTATTTTACCTATTGGTTCAATAGATGTGTTATGTAATTTCCACAATATATCTCCATGCTGATAAGATTTAGACAAATTATATTTGGGCAATTCTGTACTATCTTCCATTTTCCATTTGTATTTTTTTTGTATCACTTTCCATAGATCTTTTTCACTGTTCAATATCTGAAATAAAAAATATTTAATAACAATAAATTAAAATGTAATATAATTTCATATGTATAATGTCAGAAAAAGTGTTAAAATGATATTTTGTGTCATCAGTGTACATATATCATGCAATTGGGAAAACTTTGTATATAATATAATTAGGTATAAAATATATAATCTTTCGTTTATAGTGTATTCACTTATAGTGTAGAAACTATATTAAATTTGCTTCAAAACTCTGGCTGCTTTTGCTTGATTACAATCATATTTAAATATGCACATTTCTCTAAATATGTGCAATTAAGAACGGAAATGCCAATAAAAATTATTCAAGTGTAATTTTTTTATTAAAAAGATTAATGAATAGAATTGTTCTTCCAGAAACGCATTCTTTATTAACAAAAAATAAATAGCATGCAAAAGAGATCAAGATACAAGATCTAAAAGTTTTTTTTTATAAGAAACGTATAGTAGTAAGAAAGATAGATTTAAAAAAAAACTATTCTATTTATATGCAACAGATGCATTGTATGTAATTTACTTACCAAGTCATTGTCTGCACTATATGTAGATGGAAGATTATCATATAAAATGCAAAATAAATTATTTCCAAGTTTCTCAAGAATAAATGCTGTGTTGTTTCGTTGTATAAAGTTTCGATTGTAACAATATCGACTGTCATAAAGTTCTACGTGATAATTTTGACAGTGCGAAAAAGCAGACAAATGAAACTGATTGCAATCTATATCGCAGCAGCAATTGATATCACAGGAAGATTTCTGTACAAATAAAAAATGGAAGATTGCATATATAAGATAATAGAATTATAACAAAAATATAATTGAATTATAATAGTTATAAATATTATTCAATATTTTTTCATTTCAAAAGATACATTAATATATTTCACTATTGAATAATATATGAAAAATATCATACAATGTTATATTATTCAAATATATATTAAAATATTTCTTTCATTTTTCATTTTTACACACA